AGTCTCCTGAAAAGAATGGAAGCTGTAGTAAGTGCGGGTACTGAAAAAACTGATATGTTTTGTTGGGGCTTCTGTGTAATTTTCTGTAATATAAGTGTTTGTTTTTTTTCCTGATGCTGAAAAATGAATAATGGTGTTGATGTCTATTTTGACCAAAAATTAAATAAATGAAGGGAGGTCTCTGACTTTTGCACAGTATTGTATGTCTGATAGGAAATAAGTGTATGTTTAGGTTTTATTACGTTTGAACACATTTGACACTCACACCACAGCCTCTCTCACTTTCTCTCTTCCAAATCTTCCTTTTCTGCCTCTCTGTGTCCATCACATTCTTCCATTCTTCCACTCTTTTAACCGCACACTCTTTGCTCTGTCTGCCGTTCTCCTCTCCCTCTTCCTTTCTTACTGTCTCTTCAATTAGCGTCTTCTGTCCTTTTTCATCTTCACAGTATTCTTCCTGCTCTCTGTGTCTCTCTCTCTCTCTCTCTCTCTCTCTTTCTCTCTCTCATTTCTTCTTCCTTCAGAAAATTGTAAACACATCATGATCAGAGTCTTCATGCTTTGATCCTGTCCAGCCTCTGAGACTGTGGTGCCACTTTGATCTGTTTTTGGGGTGGTGGTTGTGGGGGGTGGCAATCAATAAAGAAGTCTCAGTGCTTTTGTTTGAAGATGAAGGGCGACTGTGTGAGAAGATGACCTGCAGGAGGGTGGGGCACGAATTAAAAGGGGCGCGGTGGTGCGTGCGGGTCTGTACGCACGTGTGCAAGTGTTCTGGGTGGCTGCGTTTAGCTAAGTGTTCTGCACGATGCATGAGATCATTTGTTTCTCATTGTGTTGGTGCCAGGCAGTGGAGTTTATGGTATTTGCATGAGAATAGGTGGACCTCAGTTAATGCAGAAGTGATGTATTTCCTGTGTATAAAGAACCTACAAGCTTCGAACTAGCTTAGAACGTTTTTCATGTGGAGCTCGATCTGTTCTTTAATTTTTCCACACAAAGGACTTTACACTGCCACTGAAAAGTTCAGAATCACATAATAATATTAATACTTTTTATGCAATAGTAATTTAGTCAGTGTAGATTGAAATTATAAATGTTATAAACCCCACATCATAATGTAAACAAAAAAAAAATAGCACCATACAGCACTGTGCAAAAGTCAGAGACGATCCTTCATTTATTTCACTTCCAGTCAAAACAGCCATTAAGCACAAGTTATTCATTTATTAAGTTAGTAATTTTTCATCATCAGGAAACAAGCAGAAAATAGTCAATATAAATTTACAAATTACACAGAAGCCCTAACAACTAAATATAACGTATTTTTCAGTATTATCAGTGTTCACCCTTTGCCTTTGCTATATCTTCTATTCTATTTGAGAGACTTGTTTTCCTTTTGTTTTTGTTTTTTTTTTGTTTGTTTGTTTTTTTGTTAGTTAGTTTGTTGCATTTTCTGCGTCCTCTATTCTAAGAACTCCCAAACACATTCAATGCTGTTGAGGTCTGGACAGTCGATTGTTCTGAAAACACCAGCAGCTGCTTTGTTTGATTTGCCAATTTTAGATATGCAAATTTTTTGTCTATTTTTTTTCCTCAGCAAGAGCTTCTTGACAGCTACACATCCTTTTGGACTCATAGCGCTGAGTTGTCTTCTCATAGTAGAAGGATGAACAGAAACACCTGTGGATTTTCTTCAGATCTGAAGCAAGACTGAACCTTGATTTTCTTCTCTCTCAACAATTAAATCTTTAAGTACTGTTTATATTATGGTGACAGTTTTGGTGGTCTACCAGGTCTTGCCTAATGCAAGTGGAATGCCAATATCTAACCTCTTCTCAAATATATATTGCCATCCGTAGCCGGGTGTCCGAGAGAGCACAATTGGCCTCGCTCTCTCTGGGTGGGTGGGATGGCCCCTCCTTCTCCCCCCATCACTCAGCGCGATGCTAGTCAGCGCATGCGTCTGTTAGCTGACGTAACAGATCTGGCGGTTGGCGCTTTCCTCCGAGCGCGTTCAGCTGTCCAATGACGTTGAGCGGCAGTTCGAAAAGAAGCGGTGGCGTTTCACAGGTCTCGGAGGAAGCCTGTGTTGGCCTTCGCCCTCCTAGCGTTGATAGCATCGTGTGATTGGGGGAGTCCTAACTAGCGGGTGGAATTGGAGACGACTAAATTGGGGAGAAAATCGGGTAAAAAATAAAATAATATATATATTGAAAAATGAATAACGTAATAGCTGTTTTGACTGGAAATGAAATAAATGAAGGGTGGTCTTTACTGTGCAACGGAATTTGTTTTATATTATTGAAAACGGTGGTTCCAAACTTTTTGAACCGTAGTTTATGTATTTTAAAATCCATGTTATTGACTGCAGTGCCACTGTGTTTACAGGCTATCTACCATAATTTCATCGAATCTGATTCTGGTTCTGCATGAAGGACAGATTGTGGAGCGTGGAAGGTTGGTTAATTCATATTGTACCAGACTGTACTTTAGTTGAAGACAGTACAATAACCTTATCAGTCTAAAAGGAGAAACATGAGACTGCATTTTTCTTGCTTTGCTGAAATTCCTCCGGCTTGGTGGAGAGTGAACCAATGAAGACATGTTAGGGCAGCCAGAGCTAGGGACTGTGTGTGGCGTGATGAACTAAGAAGACCCATTAGTTGGGAAGGTGTGTGTGTGTGCGTGTGTGTTGCCCCCCCAGGGCTCCAGAACAGGCAGGGTGTGGACTGCTCGGACACTCAGAGACCATATCCTGTCTCTGAGAAGATGAGCACAGCCCTGAGGTAAAGCCTACTGATCAACTGATAACACTGAGGACACTACGCACCCTCTCTCCCTTACTAATGGCCTTTTTCAGTGAGTCTGTCCAGCCAGCCCCAGTGTAGCCACTAAATCCCACAGTCCTTCCCGTTCTGCCCTTTGATATATGAGCCCCCAAACATGCACATATAAACTCACATGCACTCTCCCACAGGCAATCGGGATGTAACTCCACACCCTTGCACATTCAGCCCTGACTGACGCTGCGATGTAAACACAACACACACAGGCTTTTAAGCCACAGAAACTGCATTCATTCACCATCTAATGCACAGACACACAGGAAGAGAGGAGGGAGGTGAAGGGTTAATGCTTTTAGGAAAGCGTAGTTAATTGAAACACCTTGTCCAGACCCCAGGCTAGAACAGGTAGCTGTCCAAAAAAGACAGTCTGGGACGAGAAGTCTGACAAAGGCTGTGAAGACACACCACCGTGTGCTTTATTAATTCATACTGGGAATCTTAGACCTTTTCAAAGTCGAGTATGTTCTGTGGAGGCGAAAACTTTCTCAGATCCTTCTCAAGGTCCATTTTCTATGACTCCTAGTGTGATTTTCCATTATGAGGAGAGCTTTTTCCATCTCCAGCTCCCTGAACTCACGCTCCCATATGACGCCTGCTCCAGTTCTGATGCTGCCCTTCAGATTAATTGCAGCCTCGGCGGATTTGACCCCCACATGACCCTCCTAAATGACTCTCCGTATGAACAAATCTCAAAGAAAGAGCACAATGGCCCAGAGAGTGCCTCTCGCCCCTAAGTGATCTCTGAAAACCAGGAGAAAGCTTCCGCTTGCTATTTAGACCCCCTGTGAAGCTGAGCGCTTATTTGTTGATTTTGCAGACACGAAGAGTTGCTGGCTATGCAGGGGCAGTATTCAGCTATGTGGCAAAAGCAGCAGCAGCAGCAGGAGAACCCAGAGCCAAGTGCCTCATCGGACACACAGCAGCAGCAGCAAAACAGTGAAGAATGACACGAACTTAGTCCAGGTAAAATGGAAGGATCCAGATAACCAAAGGTGTCATTTTGGGTGATGATTAGTCTGAGGCAGCTGTTTTAATTGTTTAATTTCCTGGTATTTGATTACCAATAGAAATAAAACAAAGACATATTCTCTGCCTTGATGGCTTAAATTAAAATTCCACCAATATAATTAAATAGTTAAAATATAATTTAGAGCCTTTTGATGTGAAATGCTGTATTCCATATCTTCTAGAATATATTGTTAAAGTGGTTTACAGTGGTGGTGATAGGAATGCTTAATGCTTTTAGAAGCTACCTCACAAAGTTATTATATGAAATGTTTTTTACTTGAAATGAGACAGTTTTCCAGTAGTTCTGTGAGCTTTTGGTCTAAAAAAAAAAACAACATAAAAAAAACACAGGGTGTTATAAGGCAAAATAGTCCCCAAAGAAAATGAATTGTTTAGATTTGCCACTATGTTACCATTAGCAACATTACATATAAAAACTCAGAAGACATATGTAGGTTCACTGGTGGTTCTGCTTCCTCCTCTGAATGAAGGAGATTGAAAATCGGTGGAAGTGCCCTTTAAGAAAATGTTCAAGGAATCATCTTGATAAGTGCTTTTTACTGTTATAAATCTACATTCTACAGTTATTTTCTTACAGTTATTCTACAATTTGCAGTTATTTTCCTGTTTACATGCTTATGACATTCCAGCAAGGACTGCTCCCATCAAATAAAACCGAATTAGAATGCTCTTTTATTATTGGATGCTTTAAATAATGTACACATTCTCAGGAAATGTTTTTGATTATCTTGGTGGTAAAAAAAAATGTGGAATTGCCAATGAAATAAAGGTCAAATGACCATTTTCAATATGTCAGTTTACAAACATGACTTTGAATGAGTAGGAATGAAATTGAATTCATTAGATTTGTAAGTAGTAAAGTTTGCAGTATAAACCAAAAGGTGCTGTAAGATGTTAAAAACTATTAAACGTGCTTTGGTTTTACAACAGTGTTATTTTAAAGTGTCAAACTGTTTCCTTTTGTATCTGAGACTCACGCACTGCTCATATTGTAATTTTGTTTGGTACTGATTTAATAAAATGATACTTTTAGTAATTGCTCTGTAAATGTTCATTTCTCATTAAAAGAAAAAAACTCCTGGAATGAATACAACCCTAGCTATGTACAAAAGTTAATTTATTTTGAGTATTTACATCAGTTCACACACTCTATGGTTTAACAAACAACAGCAGTGAGGATCTTTATGATCCCCTTACTTGACATTACTTGACATCATCTTGACATTGTTTGTTTAGCAGAACATGACAGATATTTACAAAATGAAACACATTTCTGGTCTATACAAAAACAGTATTTGTTGACTTTACTGACTTTTGAAGCTTATATATTGTCTGTTAAACTATGTTTAGCTAAAATGCGCTGAGAACATGATTTAATGACAGTTTGTACAAGAGAAAAGGGAAAGAAGGCTTATGATAGTCAGCAATAACTGACCTTGCTCTCACCACATCCATACTTTATATAGCTCACCAATAAGCTTCATCTGGAGTATAAAGTGTAACAGGGTTGAGGGAGGTTCTATGATGTAGATGTCTACTTTTCTGGTTACTTGCTTGAACCTGCATTGGCCTTGATTAATTTTTGAAAGTTCATACTTAATTTGCAGCAGAGACCAGCGAGATAGCTCCATATCCTCCTGTAGTTTCTTTTCTCTCTCCTACAGGCCAGCGCTGACGTGGGCGAGGGGTTTGAGGGCATGCTGATTGCAGAGTGGTTAGCAAAAGCCTGTAAGTGAAGGAGAGAGCTCTAAAGTGGCCTTGCAAGGGGCAGCATCGGGGACGGGCCCACCAAAGGAACAGTTCTCATGACTAAATCATGGCCAGGCCTCCGCTGCTTCAGGCCGTCTGAGAGGGAAATGTAGATTTGTCCTGAAATGTTAAAGTGGGCGTGAGGTGTGCGGCAGAGTGGCGTTGTCACCATTGTTCATCTCCAGCCATGGCCTGCGCGCTGACCCGTGGCGGGACGCTCCGGCTGGAGAGCAGCGCTGCCCGCCTGCTGAACCCCCACGGCGGGTAAAGAATAAGGCAGCAGGAGTGGGCCTGCTGCAGAGTGGAAAGCAGGAGAGCTGGAGTTCAGAGTGAGGACATTGTACACTTTTCTCTTATTCCTCTTCTATCACTGCAGCCTCCCATCCGCTCTCACTCCCTCTGTGTCCGCACTGGCCCGCACTCATCCATGACTTGCAGGGGCCCATGAATTGCACTGGATCTTCTGGATCTGATTAACGATGGTTTGAATTGAACATGAGCAACAATAATTTATAAGCGTGTTCATTTCTATTCTCGCTTAATAGCCTTCTAAAGCAACTGCCCTAAAGAAACTAGGATTACAAACAAAGATGAAGAGCCAAACTGAAGGACTAAGATGACCTGAAGCCATGTGTGGCATCTGGATTCTCTATTGTGAATCTGAGATCTTGGTGATGGAGTGCTGGATGAGGGGGGAGGGTGTACTGGAAGAAGCAGCGTAGCCTCTCTTTCAGTTCCTCTCACTATCATCAGGCTTACGGCGGCCCTGGTGCCATAAGGCTGTGGGCAGGTTCTGGCAGCCCATGTACTCCTTCCTCATCTCGGCCTCAGTGAGAGGAGGCGTAGAGTTACAGGGAGCCCCAGCCAGTGTAACGTTCAGTAGGCTCGCTGCACCGTCGGCCACGCGAGGCATTACTGCACTCTGGTATAGGACAGAAAACCAATATGGGGGCATGAATACATTAGCATTCTCAGAAGTTTACAGCCTTAAAGAGGAAATTTTACGATTTTCTTCTTACTCCAAATATATCACGCAAGACACTTTTGCTTCTTCAGTTTTGCACTAAAGCTACAAAACTAATGGCGCTGACACATTATGGAAGCCTACACTTTACCAATTAGCTTCATGCTAACTGTATGCCCAATCATTACACATAAAAACATAGCTGCTGACACAGCCATTCAATTGTGCATCCACAGCTTGGATAATTTCCATAGAAAAGCATTGCCGGTAGAATGGGACGCTAGGAGCAGCTGCACATGAGCCTAAGGTGCTCAATGCAAAGCGCTGGCTGTGGGGGCTTAAAGCCCCCTCAGCATTGGGCTGTGGAGGAGTAAAACTATGTTCTCTTGAGTGATGGATCTCCTTCCAATAGGATGAGTTGGAGAGGTGGTTTTGATCCAGAACTGATCATCCAACATCATTACCGAACCCCCATAATGCTTTTGTGAATCTGAATGTTGCCAGATCTTCACATCAATGTTCCATTGACATGTTTTATAGCTGTTTTACAGTATATTTTACACAATAAAAGCCCCTTTTGCTTTTTCTGGTTTAAGCAAGTCTGCTTTTTCTGGTTTGAGCAAGTGTGAGATGACTTGCATGTGCAGTTTGCTTAATGCTAACTGGTGTATTATAAGCTTCCATTACTTTGTAGTGACATTAGCTTTGTGGCTGAATAAAGAAGCAGTGGTATATAAAAACCACTGTAGAATCTTTCAGTTGAAGGTCCTTTAAAGAATTACTATTTCAGATTTTGTAGTCTGTTTCAGGGTTTCCCCATACCTTACTGAGATGGTCTATGAGGCAGTGGGATGGACGCAGAGAGGCCCAGAACTGAGCCGTGTCCACCCAGGGCAAGCCGTTGAGCAACACCACATTAAGGTGTTTCAGGGAGCTCTTCAGTCTCTTACTGAGGACGGAGGAGTAGCTTTGCTCTACAAAGAGCAGCACTCGACTGGCCCTGCAGCCTGCCAGGTCAGCCAACAGCTCCCCCACTGTATAGCGCTCCTTCAGATCCGCCTAGACAGAGAAATTTTTAACATGCCTGAACTTGAAGGTACAACATTCAAAGCACATTACAGCACCTGACAACTTTTGTACACTAGTTTAGAGCAACCATGTGCATGTGTACCAAATGTGGTCACTGGCAATTGCTTAACCTAAAGGCTACTGGCTGGTGGAAAGCTTGAGTTAAAGAATTTTTTTAATGATTTAATTTTAGATTTACAGATGAATTTTATTAGAGAGCATTCATATTGATTAATTTTGACTTTACGGCTTCAGTGGAAATGCCATTAGTTGATGGAATCAGCTAACCATATGAAGGGCACTTTAGGGAGAAAAGAGCTACTTTCTCATGGGGAGCAGACCGTCTGGTGGTCCTTAGCCTGTGTGGTCCTTGTCTCTCAAGCCCCCCTTTGTCACTCCCATCTCTGTCTGGGGATCAGGTTGTTGCCTTTGTCCCTTGAGAGTCTGTGCCTATTGTTACAGAAGGAAGGGTTTTACCACACAGTCTGGGCCCTTCCGTCTGCCCGGCTCTGAGCATATGGCCGGGATTACGGACCACCTTTAGCAGGAGAAGGTGGGATTTCACTGAGGTCAGATGAGTGTATTTTTAAAAGGAAATATAATTAAATGTGTTTGTGCTTTGAGAGATAAGTTTATTAATGGTGGAGTAAAGAGAGGGTTGTTTTGAAGGATTGACAGATCTATTGTGGTTTGGGATGAGAATGTCTGGAGGTACTTACAGGCTTACAGTAACACCCACTACTTTTTCTTTGATATCTAATATAATCTTACTGTGCCAGGCACTGTACGAAAGGAAGGAGTACGATACTTCTAACAGAAATACTGGACAGTAGTACACTGCTTGATCACCCCAAGATCAAGCTCAAATATGAAGACCAGGACATAAGTCCCCAAACACCAAAGAAAGGGTATTTTTCCATTTCCTTCCTTTTCTTGTCAATAAAGAGATGAGAGAGGACCAGAAGGAGGCATTCCCTCCATGTCTGTGACCAAATGCCTTCCTTGTTGCCTCTTTGATTGGGCAGTAAGCACTTTGAAGTGGTGAGCCGTGCTGATTTATAGAGGGGACATATTGAATCCATTAACAGAAAGATAAGAGATGATCATTCTTGCATTCCTGAGGTCTGCCTATTGATCTCCTGCTTGGACTTTCTGCTGCATAACATTCACTGTAGTGCACAGCAACAATGACTTAGGACCTTCAATATATGGCAGGCAAAAGTGCCGTAAGAATGACAACCTTATTTTGTTTACGGTTCTTTTTCTGGCAATAGAAGGCTAAAGATTTAGTTACATTTGCGTCTGTCAAACACTTAACAGTAGGTAAATGTAGCATCGAGAGTCTTACCCAAGGACACCTATTAAGGTCACATGATGTACATGCCCAAGCAGGGAATTGAACCCTGGAGGGCAGTGGTTTTACTGTGCTACACCAACTGCTAGTTAGCAAGTGCTTCATGGTATGCAGCCATTTATGGGGTCGCAATGTGAAAGTCCCACACACTTACAATGCCATTGTTGTTGCGATCCCATAGCAGCATGGTTCCATCGTTGCGGGTGGGACTGTTCAGGTAGAGGACCAGGGAGTCTGCACAGTGCTGCTTGCGGCAGATGTAGGAGATGTGGTTTCTGATCACCTCCTTCTCTGTGGCTGGGTACATCCCTTCTGCTTCTTTAGCTAGAAGAATAGACAGTGGTCAGTTGGAACATGAAGCATGGTTTGTTGAATAGATTGATGCAGTGCTCAGTGTTTCATTTACTGTGCTATGAGAAACAGTTAATGGAAGTATCAGAAGGCTCATTTATAAGAAAGTCATTCTGTAGAAAGATCTGTAATTGTGTAGAAAGCACTGCCCTAATTACTTAATCCATCATCCATCATTCAATTTGCATACATTAGGTACAGTCTAGTTTTGAGTTCTCACCTGCTACCTGTCCATTTCCAGCAAAGAACGTTTTTATGTGGTCCTTATGGAAGCCATTGTTCCTCAGCATCCTGTAGAAGAGCAGCAGGTTCTGCACATGGCGCTGGTATGTGATCTGTTCCTGCCAGCCACCTGTACAGAAAAGCAAACAGCAGAAATAGAGAGGACTCAGAGCAGCCATACTGAGAGTGCTTACCTGCACGGCTCTACCAAAAGTGTGGTGCAGGAACTTGTGTTTGTATTAAGTACTTCACGTCTGATTAGATAGAGATCTAATTAATATATAGTTTAAAGCAAACCTATTCAGAAACAACACAAAGAACAATAAAAAAAATAATCAGGGCTTTTTTTTTAACCTGACAGCAGGACTGCATGGTCGCAGGTCTGGTAGAGGCGGCAGGACAGATGTGTGGCTAAAGGCTGCTGGTGGCATCGGCGGGTGTTTTTATTAAGTTCGCAACTGGAGATAGGAACACTTGGCCTGGTTAGGGGTAAGGGCTGTGGGCATCTGGCAAATTCTGGATGATCTGTTATAGAAGTGGCACAAAGCACGAGTTACTATTTAATAGACAAATGCATGGACAACATTCAGCTGCTACTGTTTTATCTGTGCTCTGTCCTTTTTTAATTTTTTTCATATAACAGTATATACCATTGTGGAAAACACAAAAGTCAGTTTCAGGTTATTTAACTACATGTGGTTTGAGGCAAATGTCTGGTGATTTAGGCTGTTCGTCGTTCATTGGTGAGGTGTAATCTTCCATTAGCTATGTATTAACTTTAGCCTTGTTGTGATCTTGGCTGACCAACTACATTTGGTCTAAGGGGAAAATTGTGTGCATTTTATTTTCTGCAAAACTCTCACTTTAAGACATGATACTTAAAATTCATTCACTCGAAATTCATTCAACCTAGAATCTAGACTAAAAATCATTGATCCCATTTTCTTTTGTCTGTCATTGTCGCACCTCTGCTAAAGCACTCATAGTGGAGAAGTATTCTGAAAACAGATTGAGCTGAGGTTTTCCAGTGAAGAATTGTAATGTAGTGCCAGAAAAAACAGTCTTGGCGTATGCCTGGAAACCTGTCCCTCTCAGTCACTGACTCACCCACGCAGCGTAGGCGCTGGGTTCGGTTGCTGTCCCTCACTCCCACCACTAGGGGCAGGAAATGGATCTCACAGAGGCCGCTGCTGCGCTCCATACGGCCCGCTCTGGACACTGTGCTCCTGCGGAACCGTGCTCGCCCCACCATACGGTCACTGCGGCTGCGTCTCCTCTTTAGCTGGTTCTGGCAGCGAGTTTTCAGGGCCAATGTCAGACACTCCTCTCCTGCAATGTGGCAGTCAGACAGTGGCCTACAGTTAGCCGTCTATACATTACATTTATATTGTTAATGTAATGTAAGAGTAAGGTTAAAGGGTGTATAATAGGATGCAGAGGTCATACAGGTGCTCTTTATCACTAAGTTGCCATGTAATAGTCTTATGGAATTGGAATTGGTCACTGTGAAGCATACGCACTCTAACACATTTCCCTGACTTTGCTTCTGCTGTAGTATGTAAACATTATTAATCAAACATTATTATCAAAACTGTTGAAACTTAAAGTATCATTCATCCCCCTGAAAACTAAGCTGCCAAAAATGTTGAGTTTGTTGTTTTTGTGCTATCACAAAAAACAATACATTTACATATATCCATGTTTTCAGCCTACAGCAGTTGAACTCCACCAATTCATGTTGAAGTTATAAAGAATGTTTCATCCCAGACTGCTTTTTGAATGAGGTGCAATACAAGACAGCCAATCAGAATAGAGATAATTTACATATATCAGTCCTGAAGGCACTTTCACAAAGACAGTCTAGTTTATTTCTAAGAGATAAAGAGAGGTCAGAAGACATGGATTTCAACTGTATTTGATACATAAACCCAGACAAATGACAGAAATGAAATAAAATTCCAAGTCCAAAAGTCCAAGAAAAATGTAGGAAACAGGCCCTTCAAAAATAAAGGTACCAAGAAGTGTTCTTTGGAGTGATACTATAAAAGAACCGCTTTTAGTTCCCTGAAGAACATTTCAATAGATGGTTCTTTAAAGAAGCATTTTTGTAAATGTGATTGTGAAGAACCTTGTTAAAGTTTAAACAACCTCCACATAATGGAAAGGTTCTATACCAGTTTTGTGCTTCTCCTAGAACCATCTGTTGAAGGCATTGTAAAAAATCATTTAGAAATGTTTGTTTGTAAGAGTGTAGTCCTTTCACAATCTGCTGCAAGTCTACCATTTATCCTGTTCTTGCTTCTGGACCATTACCAGGCACCAGTAGTTTGGAGAAGATTGCAGGGCTACCGCAGCCAAGCAGCCTGCATCTATTTCAGGTAACACAGTCTAAATTATCTTGGACGCAGCACCATCATGAGATTAACTAATCAGAGACCATTATAAATCTACTTAACGTAATTTCCCATAACTAGTAAAATTGCTCTCGCCACAATTAAATGTTTCCTCCGCTTGCCAATGCAGTGTCAAAAGCATTAATGTCTCTCTGTCTCATTCTTTCTCCCTTTCTGTGGCCACTCATTTCCCCTGCTATCATTACAGTCACACAAAGGGAACTGGGAGGATTTCAAATGTGGTCAAAACAAACTTCTGTTGTCTTCCTCCTCTCTCCTCGTCTTCAGCTTAGATGGTCAAGCTTGGGCAGATTAAAACCCAAAAATGCTTCCAGATTTAGGCTATGGTGAACGAGATGCAAGCCAGATAATCTGCTTTTCCGCCCAGAGCTTATGCTTGAGCCTCTCTCTCTTTTCCTTGATCATTTCTGACATGCTTAGCAATTATTAGATTTCCCAAGGCTGCTTTTATTTCCTGCTCTTGAGGATCTTTACTGAAAACAGTGAATTACTAAGGACTTAAGGACATAAACAACTTGTGAGGTATAGCTGTAGAATAATGTAACAAAACAGCGGCTGCCCTCGATGATGTACAAACATTTTATAAAGTTTTGAACTTTATTAACGTGTGTAGTCTGATGAACTAGTGTCCACTCTTAGTCTCTTGGAAGGTCAAATCTGAAGCACTAAAATAGAGTTGTTTGCACTGTAGGGGGTAGTGTGTATGCAGAGTTGTGTCCTGAACCAGGTGCAAAGGACAGAAAACACGCTCAGGATGAATTATTGACACCTTTTATTGCAATTGCATGACTTTCTTGGTTCAGTGGTGCATCTACCCTCCACTTTCCCTGCAGGGGGCCGTGGCCCGACTGTTCCTGAGAGAACTACTCCTGGAGCAGAGTGTACTCTCTTTCTCACACACTCCCTCACAGCCACCAAGGCTGCACACACGCACAGACTTGCATGCACTCCAAGCATTGCCCTGTCAGTGTTATAGCATGACAGGTGACCCCTATATATGAGCCATTGTACCAAATTAGCTCAAACTGCGGTCCCACAGTAGAAAAAAAAACTATTCATTTAAAAAAATGGAGGAAGTATTCTAATAAGCTAAATATATACAAAATAATCATTTATTGGGTACTTTCTATTGGGAGGTTGCTGCCCCAAACCCTAACATACATTAATTTTTGTATTTTTGACATCAGTGTTGGGATCAGTAATCTGTTTTTTTAGTGAAGATGAAAGATTTAGATTTCTCAAGGGATTAGTTTTTAAATTAAAAAAATGTTTCCCATGTTTTCATGTTATTACTGAAACACAAAGTTTCTGTCCATGGGTGGAGCCTTATTTAAGCCACGCCCCTGCATTTTAGAGCAGGACATGAGACTGCACCCCTGTCCCTCATGGCCACATGGTGAGCAGTTAGATCCCATTGATTTGAAGTAAATGTGTCCCAAAGATGGAAAAGCGGTGTGAAACATTAAGAATTGTCACTATTGAAACACACTTTCTGCAATTAAGTAAATTTAATAAAAATATCATGATTGTATGTGTGTTCAAAGCCCTATTTGTTAGTCATGCATCAGCTAGTGTTTTTGAATAATGCTCAAAATTACCTAAAATGGTCACTTCTGAAACATTTGGTAAAGTTCCATTGTGGAATGTTCAATAGAACAAACATCATTAAGTCATTCAAAGCAAAAGTAAATGTGTCTCAAAGCCCAAACCAGTTAAAAGTCTAAAATTTGTTTTCAGCTCTGACTTTGGTATAATGCAGTATAATCATTCATATAGTTGATGACCACTCTGTCGGATAAAGTTATGGAGTCTGTGTACTCATAGTAATCACACTGATATTACTCACTTTTCATGCTTTCACAAATTCAAAACGTCACTTTCACTCCAAGTAAAGCTCACATGTTCCAAATAATTAACTGACGCTAAAAGTAAAAAGTGCATAGTACGCATCAGTGAGCATAAGTCACATAAGCCTATAGCCTATGATGGAAAGTAACACACTCCCTTTGCAGGGTTCATATGCTGATGGTGATGTCTGTTTTTGGTGGGAACAGTGTACTTTTCTTGTATGTCAGGTAAATGTGCTGGTCACTGGGAAAACTCCATGTGAGACAAATCTCATCTAAATCTCAGATGTTCCGTCTGAAGGATGAACAGTCTAATAATCTTTTAAAAAATGTGTTGTATGTTGACTGTGTGGTCAGCGGTGATGTACTGTAGAGTAAATGAGTTTTATTACAAACTGCTATGTAACAAGTGCTCTTCAGTGCATTTTAGAACTGAACTCTTCAAATGTATTACCCTTCAGAGATATTCAAAAATCCAGTGTTTTTGTTTTGTGTTTTTTGTTTTGTTTCTAATCAAAACTTTAAAATATTATAAACTTAACATTTGTTTAAAACTTAAAAATGGCATCCAAACAGCTCACAGACTTAATAAACTCTATTCTTTTGGCCACACTGTTGCATCTCTGCTGTGGGATCAGCAGCAATATAGAGATGGAACTACTGCTACCACATTCATTTAATAGGCTACTTATTTGTTTGTTTGTTTGTTTCTTCAACTTTTAACTGTATCATTTAACACTTTTTTCCTAATTTCTGATGCTTTGGGCCAATTTCGCAGATTCAGCCTAAGGCTGCACTAAAAATACTTTCCACTTGCAACTCTCCACTGACACTGAAATGAAGTCCAAGATTAGGTTTAATCCAGGTCTGGGAAACTCTTAATGCTTTTTAAACGTTTTATTTTTTGTCTTTTATAATAATAATAATAATAATAATAAAATAAATAATAATTAATAATAATTAATAATAATAATAATAATAATAATAATAAAGAAGCATATCTTTCTTGTCCCACTCACCCAAATAAATCCCGTCCATGTGGCCGCATCTTTTCTTGGTCACGTTAAAGTCCACGTAGAAGAGCACCACGGGGTGTCCGAAGCTTTCCTCGGGACTGGGGTCCAGCACGAGCACGGCGTCGTGCGCACTGGCACCGGGGAAAAGCTCCCGATTAGCCCCGGGCTCGTCCGCCGCAGGGCTCACGGTGGACTGGGAGTCCGGCAGGATGGCCAGCACTTTGTCCGGACTCAACTCGGACACGTAGACCACCACGCCGGGCAGGCGGAGGTGGGCCAGCCTCGAGCACTCGCCCTCCGGCAGACTGACCCTGCGGCACAGGCTCAACTTCACGTACTGGAAGGCAGCCTTCACCCAGCGGTCCAGCCGGGCCAGCCTGACCCGGGACCCGCCGTGCTGACCGGCCAGCAGCGCGAAGACCAGCAGGGAAACGCACACGGTGCGCAACTTCATGCTTTCAGGGAGACGAACGATATGGTGGTCACTAACGTCCAGCCCTCGTCCGCTTGGATCAGCCTGCTGGGATTTAAAACTCACCAAAGCTGGAGTGGACTCTCGGCAGGCTGGGAGGATGCAAGCCCCCTCTTCATTAGACGGGACATGAAAGGGCGCGCGGCAGCATCCAGATGGAAAGTGATCTGCAACTGTAACTCCATCCCACAGGCGCTGCGTGCCGGTAAACAGAGGAAGGAGGGAGAATAGGAAGGGGAGGAGGGGTGTGTGGGGGTGTGGGTGTGGCGAGGGGGCGTAGGAGGGAGGGAGAGGGGACCTACCTGCCGCTCACAGCCCACCATACTTTGCCATCAGACAGCGGGTCCAGGCACGTGCATGTTCTTTCTCAGGTAAAGGTAATGGGCTACAGCTGTGGACTCTTCTCTGTGCTCAGGATTGAAACTGACCAACTCTGAGTGACCTCTGGGACTTACACTACAGGCCACTACAGTCTGCAGTGGGTTATTAATGGCAACGCTGAACATAGAGGAACAAAATATGTTTATATACTGAAAGTCAAACCTCCTCAGAATAAAGGCACTGTTCGTGTTGCCAGTCTGCACTCGCCTCTTTTCTGTTTATAAAGTGTGAAGTAAAGCGTTAAGTAGGCTACAACGTTTTAAAGATTCCCAGATGAAATAATACGATTGTACGAAGAAGTTGTACAAGTATAGAAAATACATCATGAACTTGTTTAAATGGGTCACTGGAGGCACCAATGAGTGTAAAATCACAGGGAAAATTTGAGCACAACTGGGTTAAAGAGCTGTTTTAAATAGTTTTATTAAACAGGTAAAAGTTCAGTAATAATAATAATGTTACGCGCTCGTTTAAAACTAGTTTGCGCTTTTTTATTCGAATGATATAAAAGAAATGATAGACGGCAGATGTAGCTTGTAAACTGAATTCAGACTCAACTGGCACTTCTAAAATTGGTCTTGGTTTGACCTAAAACGTGGTGTTTACCAAGAGCCACCAGAAGAGGGCGCAGTAACAATATTTATGGTGGAGTGGCGCTTCTGGCGTTTCTTACAATCCAAGCTTGTAGCCTATAACAGCAATAAACTAAAGATTAAAAAATGGTTTTATTGTAGATCTGACAAAATATATTATTTTTAATCTTTAGGAAAAATAATTCCTGTTTTTGTTAAATACTGACCAGGCCGTTAGGGCCAGTGCCCAGGGGCATCTGGCTGCCAAGGGCTTCAGATCAAAAGGTCTAAGGTGGTTCTGATACTTCGGACAGTCCACTGCAGATGTAAACATTGCATGAACAAATAGCACTTGGATATGTACATGATTCATTGAAATAAATTGAAATTTTTTAAATCTTACACAAAGATCTGCAAGTCCCACATGACAATTGATACAATGTAGACACGAGTGTTGTAGTACTTAAGTATAAGACTGCTGTGTCTGATCCATTCATACCAGCACAACACACACTAACACACCACCACCACGGAGAATGATACAACACCTAAATAACACCTGCTCTGTGGCGGTCCTGTGGGGGTCCTGACCATTGAAGAACAGGGTGAAAGGGTACTAAAAAGTATACAGAGAAACAGATGGACTACAGTCCCTAATTGTAGAACTACAAAATGCATCTATATGGTAAGTGGAGCTGATATAATGGACAATGAGTGTAGATACAAGGAGCTGTTCCTAATCAAGTGCTCAGTAAGTAAGTAAGTAAGTAAGTAAAGTTTATTTATATAGCGCTTTTTACAACAGGTGTTGTCACAAAGCAGCTTTACAAGGAAATGAGCATTACAAAAAGAAGTCCGGGTCCGAGCCCCCATGAGCAAGCCAGTGGCGACAGTGGCAAGGAAAAACTCCCTAAGAGAAACAGGAAGAAACCTTGAGAGGAACCAGGACTCAGAAGGGGAACCCATCCTCCTCTGGTCGACACCGGATAGTAAACATTGTTAGTATAAAGTATTATAGTACAAAAAACAGGGTAAAACGTGAAGGAAACAATTAATTTGAATAGTTCAGTTCATGCAGCAGAAGCAGCAGCATCAGTGGGGTCAGGTTGTGAGGGTGAGGTTTGCACGGTGAGCAGTGGCACCCGATCAAGGCAGCAGAGGCAGCAGCATCAGCAGCAGGATGGGCAGCTGTTCAACTCGGCAAAAGAAAGAGAGGAAAAACACAGTCAATGGGTGATTGATTAATTTGAATTAGTTTGAATGATTGATTGGTTCAAGTGAATAATTTTGAATAGTTCATGCAGCAACAGCAGTAGTATCAGTGGGGTCAGGTTGTGAGGGTGAGGTTTGCACGGCGTTGAACAGCAGGAGGCTCAATGTTGGTAACCCGGTCCAGAGGGCTGGCGAGCAGTGGCACCCAATCGAGGCAGAAAAGGCAGCAGCATCAGAATGCACAGGATGGGCAGCTGTTCAACTCGGCGAAGAAAAGAAAGGAAAACACACAGAGAGGAAAACACACAGAGTTAGTTCTGTAATGGGTGACCGATCACAAATTACAGTGTTAGCAGAGACTCTGGCAGGTATAGAACTAACAGGGAAAACTAATTACCAAAGGCTTGAATATACAAGTAGGTTTTTAGCCTAGACTTAAAGACTGAGGCTGTGTCTGAGTCCCGAACATTAACAGGAAGACTATTCCAAAGCTGGGGGGCTTTGTATGAGAAAGCTCTCCCCCCTGACGTAACTTTATTAATTCTGGGTACTAATAGTAAGCCAGCACCTTGTGATCTAAGTAGGCGGGATGGTTCATAGTGAGAGAGAATGAAAAAGTGAGTGAGTATGAAAAATAAAACAACCTGATTAGGTTAATAACTCTGAATTTGCCAATCAGTAAGTAAGAAAATGAATATCAGCAATTAGTCATAGGATCCCCCTCGCATGAGTGTACAGGTGCTTACTCAGAAGAGCGGATAAAGCTTAATTAAGTAACACAATCTGAGTTAACAAGGCGAGGCATATCATCTGACCTGGCATCAGTATCTGACCACTGTCTTGCTCTGTTTCCCTTGGTAGCAAGTTATGTATTAACAACTGTACAGCATACTTAGTGCTCTATTGATTCTCTAAGATGTCATAGGCACTGGCTGTAGTCTACTTTGATAAGCTCTTATGTAGGCACTAAGGCAATATGTTTTGGAGGTAGACTTAAAGGGCTCATATCCTACTTTTCATCTCCTTTATTTAGGTGCATCTATGGTATTTGTGTAAACTGGGTTGTGAGTCTGGGTTGAAACATTCCCTATAACGTCAACATGAATAGTTAAGGCCAAACTGCTGCAGGCTGAACAGACAGATATATGGAAATATGTTGGTATTTGTGACATCACAAAAACAATGAATTTAGAATGAGCTGTTTTTATGGCTTAATATCCATTTTTGGACCATATACACTGGAGAATGAACTTTACATTTTGAAACTTTAACTATGGTTATATACTACATGAAACCATGTGATTTCAAATTTAATTAATATTTAATTGCCACTAGGTGTGAATGTGTGTGTAATTGTATGTGTCTGTGTGTCTGCCCTGTGATGGACTGACGACCTGTCCAGGTTGTTTCCTGCCTTCTGCCCAATGACCACTGGGATAGGCTCCAGCGTGTGTGTGTGTGTGTGTGTCTGGAAAGACTATTAGTTCTTTACAGCATAACAAATTCTCAGAGTTGGAGTGCCACCTCAATATCACCTCAATGACACCTCAATATCCATTTAAAAGGATGTGTACCCATTTGTAAGAATCTGGATATAAAGAGGTTTAAAATGAAAAACAGCTGACATGCAATGCATTTTGTCAAAAACCATACTTTTATTTCTCTTATAAAGGTGGTGTTAATTGTAATATAGCATTTCTATTTCTTGTATGTGTAAAGCCCACTCTCAGCAACAACAAAACATTCCTCAAAATAGTATTTCATGCATTTTGGAACAAAACTCTACATTTGTAATGACATCAGATATGTGCTACTTTCTTCCTTTTATCTTTATAAACCAGTTTATCCATGCTGCCCTCAACCCTGACCTAGTTAGTGGTTGTGCACCCACCTAGGAGCTTACATCTTTCAACTGCTGGGGTAACCACGTCGGTATAGCAAAGGAAAAGTAATCCTATCCAGTTAGTATCCTGTGTCAATCGAAGATGCATTTTCACGTTTTCTGAACAGATGTCACTCACATTATATTTAATTAGAAATCAGTCAAGACCTATGGAAGTTCTGCATATGGCTGTATTTGAAAAGTACACCTTTAAACAGAGTTTAGGCTGTAAATCAGTCAGGGGTGGGAGAGGAGGTTAGTTCTTTATTCAGAACAAATGCATGTCAATTGTTAATGGCACAGCACGACAGTGACCCACGCAAAGTTTGAATTGCAGGTGGTTTGTCACTATGCATATTTAATCTGGAGTGCATGTGAGAAGGTAGGACTGGGTTACATCGCTCTAGAAAACAGGCTTGCTAACCAGGGCACTGGCTTAGCTGATGAGCTTGGGTTTGCAGCAGAACACTTCACTCAATGAAGAGCACCTGGTGGTTTTAACTTTGCTTAAGAGGTAAGCTATTGTAGAGTGTTTTACGGCTCTGTGGTATTTAGAGAAGGCATTCTTCCTGGGTATCTCAGTGAAAGTGTTATGGCAGTGCAAAAAGGAACAAGGCATGCTCTGTGTGAGGTTAGAGTGATTAACTCTCCTGACATTTCATATAAATATGTGTAATGAAATATATGTATGTTCAAAAGTTTGTTGCCCCCTGTTCAACCAACGTTTTATCTAAATTCATGGGTATTAATAGGGAGTTTGTCCTCCCTTTGTTGTTGCAGTAACAGCCACTATACATTTTGGAAGGCTTGTGACATTGCTGTGAGAATTTGATTGCATTTAGCCACAAGAGCATTAGTGAGGTCAGGCACTGATGTTGGATGATTAGTTCTGGATCACAAACACAACTCCAACTCATCCCTCATCAAGGCATTCATTGGTGCTACATCACTACAGAGAACACAGTTACATTGCTCCACAGCCAAATAGGGGGCTTTATTACCCCTCTAGCTGGCACCAGAGAGGCTTTTCCATACACTCAAAAAAATAACTTGTGTATAATCTTATTTCAATTATGCCACACATTCAATCCAGTAGAGTCACACTTAAAGATAAAGGTTCTTCAAGGGTTCTTTAGTAAAGAAAATAGCTCTATATTGAACCCTGAACACTCAAAGGACCTTTGCAGGATAAAAAAAAATGTTCTTTGCGTTGTGAAAGTGTTCTTCACAATGATGTAAAATGTGCTGTAGATGGTTCTAAATAGAACCTTTTTGAAAAGGGTTCTAAAAAGCATCGAAAAGGGCTCCTGTATTGTAACAAGCCTTCTATATAAAACCATATACAGCACATTCTCCATCGATATAAAGAACGCTTTCATGATGCAAAGAACCTTTTAATCATGCAAAGTGTTCTTTGACTGTTCATGGTTTCATATAGAACCGTTTTCTTTACTAAAGAACCCTTGAAGAACCATCATTTTGGGTGTGTACAAGGACTTTGTCACTTCAACATAAAATCCAATTGTTGATGGAACAACATTGAAACATTTCAGTGCAATTTATATCAGTTCAGTTGAAATGAATTCTCTTTGGCTCAACATAAACAGTTTTGATTCACGAAAATGCACTTTCATTAATTTTTGTAAATTAAAAATGTTACTTCAAGACACCACAATTCATATTTTCAGTTTGTAAGTCCAACAACCCTATTGGTTAATTTTTTAGTGGACAAGCTGTGTCAGCAGTAGGTGCTCCTCAATGTAGCTCAGTTAGAAGGGGTGTCTGGAAAGTTTTGGACATATGATATAATTAAATATGCTTGTAGCCTCATAGTGACTCTGTGTGTCCTACAACAGACTGCACACTCTCACAATAGCTGTGCGCTGACCTGCCCGTGTTTCAGTGAGCGGTTGCTAGGAGGCGGACAGAAGCCGCGGCAGACAAAAAGGAAAAAAACAGCTCGAAGCGGGTTTCTCAACCGGACTCGGCTGTAAGAGCCGGTACGCTACGCTGAGCTGCCACTCCGTGATGTAGGCAGACAGGTTAGCTACTTGTTTTCTGCTCAGGTAAGAAGCTTTGCTCAAATGGCCGACACTTAACAGGAGCCTAGATTTTAACGTTGGTTTTACAGACCTACGTTTTCTGCTTTAGCTTTGCAGGGCCTGTTGGTGAGAGTGTGGCAAACGAGGTGGTAGCTGGGTAAGCTAGCTAGCTAGCTTAGATAGTTACATAGCTACAACAAAATGTTGTCGTTTTTGCTCAGCACATTTCCACGCTGCTTGACATAAAGCTGTCTGCTGTTATCGTTATTATGTTTTTTCCTAAGCTTGCTGGCTTCTCTTTTCCAGCTGCTTTTTATAGCTATCCCGCTAGTTTGTTTAGCCATTATAGGTAGCTAATAGTTACTCACACACAAGCTAGCTAGCTAACACAGCTAAGCTAAGTCAGACCCTCTGTTCGCACCACATGGCCGGTAAACTGCTGACACGCTAACTCGGGTTGTATGGGTGGCCAGTTTGTAGACCTTAACTTGAGTCATTCACAAAAGTGGAACATGCTAACGGTAGTGGTCAAGTCTTGCTAACCCGCTTACTTTTTGCTAATTCACGTGCAAACCAGTCCTGTCCAGTATCTGTTTTCCTAAAGACGTCTGGAGAAAAGTTTTCTATCCTTTCCTTTTTTCTTTTCCGTTTCGTTTCTCACATTTTTCCCTTGCATATTCCACAACAGTAGATGGTTTGTCTGATAAGGACTCAGCTATTTGATTCATTTACTGTATCCAGTACAGCCATTAACTGTATGACTGATTTGACAAAGAAGCTTAAATGAGAAATGAGATCCTATATTAAGGTTCCGTTATGCTAGAGGCAGGTATGTGTGTGTGTGTGTGTGTGTGTGTGTGTGTGTGTGTGTGTGTATATATACACACACACACACACACACATACACACATACACACACACACACATAAATATACATACACATATATAGAGAGCGAGAGAGAGAGACAAATCGCACACACACACAAAACCCCGTTCCCAAAAAAGTTAAAAAGTTGGGACATAAAACAGAATGCAATGATGCGTAAATCATTTAAACCCTATATTTAGTTGAAAATAGTACAAAGGCAACAAGTCAAATGTTGAAACTTTTTATTATTTTTAAATATGTCCATTTTGAATTTTATGCCAGCAACATATTTCAAAAAAAGTTGGAACAGGGTCAGGTTTACCGCTGTGTTGCATCACCTCTTCTTTTAACAACACTGTAAGCATTTGGAAACTGAGGAGACCAATTGCAGCAGTTTTGAAAGTGAAATATTTTCCCAATCCTGTTTGATATAGGATTTCAGCTGCTCAGTCAGTGTTAATGGTGCTGTACAGATGTGCACGTCACCCATGCCATGTGCACTAATGTTCCCCCAAACCATCATGGATGCAGGCTTTTGAACTATGCAGTGATAAAAAGTCAGTAAGTCCCTCTTCTCTTTACCCCGAGGACGCAGTGTCCATGATTTCCAAAAGGAATTTCTTTTTTTTTTTTCGTCGGACCACAGGACACTTCCACTTCGCCTCTTAAATGAGCTCGGGCCCAGAGAAGGCAGCAGCATTTCTGGATCTTGTTCATATGTTTTTTTCTTTGTATTGTAGAGCTTTAACTTGCATTTGCAGATGCAGTGACAAACTGTGTTTTCAGACAATAGTGTTCAGAGCCCATGCAGTGATTTTCACTACAGAATCTTGTCTGTTTTTAATGCAGTGCCACCTGAGAGCCTGAAGATCATGGCCAGCCAGTATTGGTTTTTGGCCTTGTACCTTGCTTACAGGGATTTCTTTGGATTCTCTGATGATATTGTGTACTGTGGATGAAGAAATCTCCAAGGTCTTTGTGATTTTACGTTGAGAAACATTTTTCTTGAACTGTTTGTCCACGCAGTCTTTCACAGAGTAGTGAACCCCTCCCCATCTTTGCTTCTAAAGAGTCGGCCTCTCTGAAATGCTTTTTTATACCCAGTCATGTTACTGACCTGTTGCCAATGAACCTAATTAGTTGTGAAATGTTCCACCAGGTGTTTTTTTTTTTTTTGAAACGTGTTGCTAGCATCAAATTTAAAATGGACATATATTTTTCAAAAACAGTAACATTTCTCTGTTTCAACATTTGATATGTTGTCTTTGTACTATTTTCAGTTAAATATTGGGTTTAATGATTTGCACATCCTTGCATTTTGGACTTATATGACACACACACACATATATATAAATATTAGGGGTGGGGGAAAAAAAACAATTCTTAGATGCATCGTGATGCGGGCCTGAACGATTCTGAATCAATTCATAAATGTCAAAAATAACCTTGGGAGCCACAACATTTAATGTCCAGTATGTGTCAGTATGTGCTAATGTCCTAGTATAGGCTAAACAATATAAATGAGAGCGCAGACTTACTTTGCTCTGCTTTAAGCGTTAGCTATAGCCGCTTTCCTCTCATTTCCGCCAGAAAACCTTTCCTCAAAAGTAGATCAGTTTCTGGTAAAATGTTCCTCAATGTTCGACTGTTATACGAGGCTGAAGTCGCTTCTCAGTCTCCAGCTCCTTGTTCGAATTTTTACGTTCTGCCTTAAATTCTGACTGAGGCGCCGAATGTAAATGCGACACCATTTAAGGTGGAACAGGGAAATTCGAAAGAGAAGCTGTAACTTCGTTTTTGCAACTTTTTAGTGTTTGACAGTCTCTCGTTGCAGATATAACATACCAGGAAACCAACTGCGCTGCTTATGAATGCGAATAAGTCCATTCACCTTCAAATATTCGTCTTAATATCTCTCTTTGTCTTTTCGTTAGGTACTAGCTGGGCAAAACTTTGTTGCTAGGTGACCTGCAGTCTGTACGCCAGTTCTCAGTCGTTGAGAACCAGGGCTTTCGCGCTATGTTGCATACGTCCCGTCTCGCAGATAATTTACTGACACAGCAATCCCCCAACTCTCTACCACGAGACCAAAACCGAAGTTATAAAATCACTAAAGAAAATGGGCAGGACAGCTGTAATCTGCTGCCTGGTCATCCATTGCCACTGGATCTTGTGTCAGCGTAACTGCGCATTTTATCACAGATGAGTGGCAGCAGCATCTCCGAATGCTCCGAACAAGAGCAGTGAATGAGAGCCTTCCAGTTGACTTGCCATATCGCTTCCATTTGATTTATTAATTAAAAAAAAAAATATATATATATATATATATATATATATATATATATATATATATATATATATATATATATATATATATATATATATATATATATATATAGTGTGTTTTTGTGTGTGTGTGTGTGTGTATATGACACTTGCAGTCGCTGTGCTTCATTAAAAGCTTCGTGCTCTTATGCATAAACACAGCCAGTGGCTAGTCCCGCCTTCACGCTAAGACTTCTTAGCATAAAATGAACTGCCAGGAAACACATAACCCAAAATTAACATGACAAGATGTATATATTGTGCATCAAAAGCTATGAGTACTTGCTTTTCACAGACTGTGCAGTACTAAATCCAGTGCTCTCTTTGTAATCACACATGCCGTTAAGCGTTTTTCAGTACTGACGATATCTAGGATATGCTCAGAAAAGCATATTGTTATGTAATTTATCGCATTAACGATAAATGTTGTCATATTGCCCAGCCCTAGGTTGCTCAGACCTGGCGTAACTATGTAGATTACTTCACACATTTTAAATGCTTAATATGATAAGCCATTGTAATTTTGCATTCACTTTTGTCTTCTTTACAGGTACTCTGGACTCTCATTTATATAAGTATTAACATCCATGCCAGGAAAGTATAAGATGGCATTTAATGGCCTCTAATGGATTTGAAGACTTGAGAAGTGGGGTTCCACAGCCAGCCCTCATTGTTCGAGCCAAGTCTGCAATTGTACATTCCTCCAACACTCATGTGTCTTCCAGTCTCAATGAGAGGAGAACACATCATCCTTCATCCCTTGGTTTCTCAGTATCTCAGCCTAATGTGACGGTGGTGCTTGACCGGACTAGTCATATCTCAGGGATCTCCTCACAGTGTGCCTATCCAACTGTGCCTGCACCTGCTAATACTGTAACAAGTGCTGAGCGTGCTCGAAGTGCAGGTGCTCATTCTTCTAACGGTGCTAGCGGTGGTACAAGAACAGCCAGTGCTGTCTCAAAGTGTTTACTTCATATCAGTAGTCCCTCTTCTGGATGCCATAGCCCCTGTCATCTTGAGCCAACTGTCCACAGCTATCAGCCACACTGGCAGCTGGGCCAACTCAGGTTAAGGTCACGACTTTTAGGGAAAAGGGCCTTTTCACCTCAGCTCTCAGTTTGTCCCTCCTGTCCCTCCCCACCCAAGACTTCCTCGCAAAGAGCGTCTGTGAGAGTTGAGAAAACAATGCCGACAAACCAGTCTTACCCATGGACAAGCAGCAAGCTCAAAAGCAACAGCAAAGGGGTAATGCAACCCACTACCACCAAAGTGCCTATAAATGCTAGACTAGAAACGTGTGAGAAGCCTAGCACTGTACTGTCTGCCGCTCATTGTAATGGCGGTGACAAGGGAGATGGCAAAGCAGACACAATGAAGCCCTCCCAGACAACTGTGCCTTTGGAGCACAGTTGTAAAGATGTGCCTCTGAACAGTGTCTTGGGGGTCCAGGACTGGCCTCAGTGTGAGAAAATTGTGGCTGAAGACACCAAGGAGAATGAGTGTATTGTGGAGTGCAGTGCAGAGCATGGCACCAGTGAAGCACCTCAGAGAGTGAGAAAAATCAGCTCTGAGGTAGAGTTCACAGCAGCTGTACAGAAGCTCACCAAAAGCATGGCACATGCACAAAGCAGAAAATTAGATGGTCTGAGTGGACCGCTGAGGACCAGTGTTAATTCTCACAGCAGTATGAGAGCAGTAAAGACAGGAACAATGACAGATGCCACTTCAACAAAAGCCTCAAGTATTTGCCTTATTAATGGGAGCGGGGAGCCTTTTATGGACATGGAGACCTCCACTTCCCACTGCCTTGATGCAAGGGATGAGATGTACCCCACAAATTCTCCGAGTGATGGAGTGACTCAGGGTAGCACTTGTGCCATTCCAGAAGAGGTCAGCCACAAAATGGCCTCCCCTCAGTCTCCTACAGTTTACTCCGTAACAAACCAGATATCTGCCATACACCTTACAATTAAAGGGCGTGGGCACACCTCAGAAGAGAACCCAAGCCTTTGTCCTATGACACTGGATGAAGAGGGTGAGCCTGGGGTCAAGGGGTGAGTATGAACTTAAGATGATTTTGCCTTTTGGTGTTTTTCTTCTGGGCAGTACAGTATGATACAGCTGAAAATCCACAGTCACACGTTTAGCTGTAATTACCTTAAGTACCAATTCTGAATTTGATTACCCCTCTTAATCGGGTGCTAAGGCTACGTTCACACAGCAGGTAAACGTGGCCCAAATCTGATTTTCTGACCAAATCTGTTTATTTTTTTGTTTGGCTGTTTACATTATCTTTTAAATGTGATCTATGCGCCATATTAGTCTGAACACATCAGCTCGCCAGTCGCTCCTAAAGGCTTTAGCTTCGTCTTCACCAGCATCACAGGAGCCATCATGAAGCTTCATTGACTGACAGCTGCGCTCATCACCCAGTATGTGTACGTGCTTGCTGTAAAAAGGCACGTTATTCGGCTACGGTCACTTCTTTGGTTCGTGTTCCCGGATTCTTTCACACTTCTAACTGTTCTTTGACGCTGCAGCCTCACTCTCCTACGGCCGCATTTGGCCATTTCTTTCTAAATCTCTTCGAACACTGAGGTGTTTGAAAAAGTCTCTTCTAATTTTTTAGTACAGAAACATCAGCCTAAATGTTTGAGGTCTCAGCAGCACGAAATGATGGCGAATGTCAAGTTGGATTGACGTAAAAGTCGCATTAATTCCTATCTGGCTGTTCAGACCCAGTCGCATTGCCGCGGATCGGATACGTATCGGATTTAAGTACCACATATGAAAGCGTCTCAAAACGGAATTAAAAATGTCCGATTCAGTGTGTTTTTTGCTGTTCACACTGCCACACAGATGACACATCTGTGTCACATATGAAGAAAAAAAAAACAGATTTGGGCCACTTTTACCTGCTGTGTAAACGTAGCCTAAGTGTTCCAAGCTGTAACAAATGGGTGGAGCTAGTAATGGCACAAACCACTGTTTGGTCAAGCACAGTCATCACAGAATCGTCACTCTGTCAGATGACTGCAATTTAAAACATACAGTAGATAGTAAGAATTGCTGTGTGTCTGTGTGACATAAAACTGAATGCAGAGTAAATACTATATCAGAACTTGAAGTTCTTCCATTGTTGCTGCTGCTGTTTGTATTTGCTGTTAATGTTAACTTTATGCAAGAAATCATGTGAGCACACAAACTTCACCTATTCTTACTGTTTTATGTGTACTACTCAATAGAAAAACACCATTTGATAGGGCAAAGTTTTTGTTTTGGCTGTTTTTCTGTGCATAATCTTTCGAAGGGATGAACAAGCAGTGTATGAATGATGTGTTGGGGTGGCTGTTAAGGATGTTTGACATGTTAGAAGTTTATCTGTATTGCCTTATTTTTAAGGTGCAATTCTGCCAGTTTTTTAAATTGTAGTGATAGGAACCAGGGGTTACAGTGTTTAAAACATAAATACCAACATTTTATTTGCAGTCCAAAATGACCATTGTTTTATATGTAGTGTTGATAATTCCCTGTAAATTGTGTTCATAACTCTGTGACGGTTCTTCTATTACATCATTCAAATCTCCATTAAAGACCTAGCTCTTCACTCAACTTCATTCTACTTCCTTTATCTTTTTTCCCCTTCTTTTAACTTCTCTGTGAAGCAACCTTGGGTATGAGAAAGATGCTGTGCAAGTCAAACAAACGAACAAACAAATAAATAAATAATAGTAAAACAGCGTTTTTAAAAATGAAAAAAATGTTCTTTGAATACTACTTTGCCTTACAATGCCCTATATGTACTGCATTGCTCTACACCAGTTTTTTTTCTTTCTTCAAAACCACTGTAAAACAATGTCTCAGACATAAGGGAACACGTTCAGAACCATTTCATGCCTCATATAACATTTATAGGCATTAAACAATTTGAATGTCTGGTTCTGATCACCTTCATTGTGGCAGTTCTGGCTCTTAGGTTTCTCTAGAATAGCATTTCACATGAGATTTAGAAAAAGCCGTAGCAATTCCCTTTAGTGTAATAAAAATGTAAATATTTTAGTTGCTTTTTTGACCTTTCTAAATGTACTAAAACTTCAACCAATTTTACTTCTGTTGTCACATTGACCTCTATGAGAAATCTAATAATAGTAGTAAGAGTGTTGTCTTATTGTCTCTTAGACTTGAGAATGTTGCCATGCTACAGGACGGAGAGGAGGAGGAGCTTCCAGATGAGCTGGAGAATGACTGCAGTGGGAATGACAATGGTAACTACCTTTCCTCTTACCTCCCTGTTTTCAGTGCTAAACCTGAACCTGTAGTATGAGCCCACACTACTCATTTAGCCTTCTGTTTATTGTCCAGTTAATGATCGGTCATGCCACATCATTGTTTTCAGTGTTAAAGGATCTGCTGTATTCTACAGTGTGTTATGTAAAAGAAAATTGTCATTTCTTTCACATAACATTCATTCTTTTCACAGAAGGATCAGATTGTGATGCCTCCTCAGCAATCTCTATGGCAACATCAAAGTAATTTGTTTGTATTTATTATTTCCAATACAAGTGCCCAAAGCAGGTGTTTTGCTTGTCCTGATGTGCTATACTTAAACATGATTTTTTTACACATGGCATTTATTCCACAAGTATTCAAGACAAGGCCGCTTAGAGCTGGGTCACATTTCAGGTTTTCTTTTAATCCTGGTGTTGTATCAGTATTTGGTGAGCTGCCAGATGTTCATGTTGGAGGTGTTTTATGTACAACAATAGAGAGATTTTAAGAGCATTAAAGGTTTGCTCGGTACTTTAAACTAGATTGCCAGTCATTCATACTTTGCCATGCTTCTCTGGTGATCACCTGACATAAGTATGGTAATGTCACAGAGGAGTACTGCTCTTTTTGTTGTTGTTCTGGTGGTTGCTCTGCATGAAAAGCTAGAAAACACAGGGGTCAGTAGAAACGTCTCCCAATTGTGAATCAGTGATAAAAGTGGAACTGTCCCTCTATAATGGAAAAATGAGCTTGTAGGTGAATTGTGCTGAAGCTTGTGTGGCTATTCTAATGAGAGGACATTCCAGCTGATGAACGTGTTTGTTAGTTAGTGTTTTTGGCTTTTTTTTTCTTTACTCAATGTAAAGGCCCGTTTCAGTATGGATTGAGACTCTGAGCTAATCTCTGTCAGTGCTAACCATCATTTTGACACCTGAACCAGAACAGACATCTTCCTACATGACTGTCATGTAAGTTACAACTACGTTTTCTGCTGTAAATTGACTAGGTTATCTTTTAAATACTTTTGTCACACTTGTGAGAGATGGCTGGGTCTTTGAATCTAGTCTGCTGTGTGCAGACTCTTGATTTAATGTGGTGTACCCCAATAGTGTCTAAAGCAACCTTTCTTTAAGCATGGTTTAGTGATATGTAGGTTATAGGTTTTTGGAGAAATACATATTTCAGGTCTTCTGAGAAGGAGTAGGGTGTGCTTTGATCTTGGCTTAGGCTTTATGTTTGGGATTCTACAATGTTTTATTGTTTTGACCATTTTGCTTTTGTGTTTAATTGTCTGTGTAAATAATGATCTTTGTTGTTTTCAGATTTGATGTTTTATATTTAACGAGAGTTTGATATACTTTTTTATTTAGTCATATTTATTTAGGTTTTAATTGGATTTTTATGTAATAACAAGGACTTTTGTATATGTGATAGTATTGAGGAACCAATGAGCCCCGAGTTAGAGGATGAGAAGGTGGTGAAGCCAGCGCTGGTGCCCAGCCTGTTCCCCTTCATGCCTCCAACACTGTACTTCAGTACCAACCAAGAAAGAGGTCAGCACTTTCATTAGACTTAGACTGCGTTTACGTTGTAACAGTAGACGGTTTACAACAAACAGGGTGTTTCATTGTTTTCATTGGAGGAAATTTCTGCCATTTCTTCTGTGAAGCGCAGACCTACTCTTTTTCAACGCAGCCATGTAAATGCAGCATTAAACTTAACTTTTTAATTTTTTGCTGTATATCTATATCTATTCATATCTATATCTATCGTCACCACTACATTGTTCATTTGATTCTTTATTTGTGCATCTAGACCTTTTGTAGCACTTTTTGGTTTGTTGGGTTTTTGTAATGTTTGTTAAAATATGATATAATTGCTTTGTGATCTGCAGTGGAGTTGCTGCCTTTGGAGCAGAGGAAACTTCTGAAATGGAAGATGAGTACGGTCACACCTAACATAGTCAAGCACACCATCGCTAGATCACACTTCAAAGTCACCAAGAGTGAGCATGCTTTTGTTTCTTTATTCATGGACATTATTTAGTTTATGTCAGACATTGCATGCATGTCTTTGGCAATGTACTATAGTCACCAGGCTGCCCTTACTCTTCTACAATTGTTGACTGAGCTTCTCTTTCTTTGTTCTGAGACTGTAGAGACTTTCGCATAATTGCTTTTTGTTCCAGAGAGTAATGACTGGCTGGGCTGCTGGGGCCACCATATGAAGTCACCTGGGTTCAAGGCCATACGAGAGTACCAGAAGGTAAAGGGTCGGAGGTCAAACTTAGGTCATCATATGCCACCGACAGACATCATGTACAAATGATTTATTTATATATATCAGTGGGTACTTACAACGGTATTTGCATTCATGTAAATGTTGCCATTCATTGTTTGATTTGAACTCCCATTTCATACAGTAAGTAATTGTAACATGATAGTTTTTCTTGTTTTGATTCTGTTCAACATGTTAAAATTGAAATGAAACAGCAACTATGTGGTCAGCTTTATGTCGGCAGGTTCTGAATGTCAGCTTAATTTTCCACAGTATTTACAAGATTCTTAGCTCTGATTACTTTTGGTCCTCTGAAATGGAGTGGGTTATGTCTATATGATCCTATATGATAATGTAGATATTTGAGAAGAAAATCCCTCCCAAAAAAAGATTCATATCCGGCTTGGTGGAATTTGGAGCCAAAGCTATGCCTTTTTTATTGGTTCTAGTTATCCATTTGTAACAATCCTGTTTTCATCCTGGCAGCTGAACCACTTTCCAGGGTCCTTTCAGATTGGACGGAAGGACCGTCTGTGGCGGAACCTGTCCAAGATGCAGGCACGATTTGGCAAGCGGGAGTTTGGCTTCTTCCCACGTTCCTTTGTGCTCCCACAGGACATGAAGCTTCTGAAGAAGGCCTGGGAGGATGGAGGTAGTCGGCAGAAATGGATCATCAAACCGGTATTGCTTGGGTCATGGTCATCATGAAGGTGTTTTTAATTTAAATTTTTAATGTTATATATTCACAGTGGTGAATTGCTGTTATTATGTTTTATACATTCACAGCCAGCATCAGCCCGAGGAATTGGCATTCAGGTCATTCACAAGTGGAGTCAAATGCCACGCAAGAGACCACTCCTTGTGCAAAAGTGAGCTTTAAGCACTTGTTCACACTAGTTTTTCCAAAGTTATCTGACAGGATTTTGATAAATTAGCTTGGATTAAATATAGAAATAGCCATTTGAAATAGGATTAATTTCTTATCCAAAGTTAATTCAGAAAAATTGGCTGATAGTTAGGATGGAGTGAAATAGACATTTTTTGGGCATGTGTGCACTGCTATGTGTACTGGACTGAAACTATTTCCATTTCCTTTCCTCTTTACTACCTAATTTTCTACAGGTACCTTCACAAGCCTTACCTCATCAGTGGGAATAAGTTTGATCTGCGTATCTATGTGTACGTGACTTCTTATGACCCGCTCCGTGTTTACATCTTCAATGACGGACTTGTCCGTTTTGCAAGCTGCAAGTGAGTAACCAAAGTGAATTTATCAATTAACACAATTTAAAAAACAGCTTGTTGATTTGAAGTGCATGTAATTAGAACTGCTTTTTGAGTTTTGCTCTTTTTTCCCCCACTACAGATACTCTTCCTCCATGAAAAGTCTTAGCAACAAATTCATGCATCTGACAAACTACAGTGTGAACAAGAAGAACTCTGAGTATCAGACCAACAGCGATGATAAGGCCTGCCAGGGTCACAAATGGTAAAAATGGAAACTTCTTTTTTATGACTAACGTAAGGCAGTGTGTTTTGTTTCCAGGCTTTTCGTCCTGATCGTAGAACCATCTTTCACTACCCTAGGCTGCACTTTAGCTATGTATTGTATGTATTTTACAAAAGTTCCATTTAATTGATAGTGATAAAAATGATTTATATAATGAAAAAAGTTCCAAAGAAATACACTGAATTTACAAATTGATGATTAATATATAGCAGTTTGTGTGTAGCAGGAGAGGTGCAAAATAAATCCTGTCTTATAACTATGGGAGCAACATTTATTCGACTTAGTCGACAGAAATCGATGACCAAATTTGTTGGCAACTTATTTAATAGTCAGTTAGTTTGGTGGCATCATTACACATCTTTCTCGCGCTAACTAGGAATGTTTTGACATTGACGCTTACTGGAGAGTTAGCTAGCTAACAAAAGCGCGATGGCAGCCTCAAGAACAAAATCCTCAAAAGTGTGGGAGTATTCACGCTAAACTCAGAAAAAAAGATTGTTAGTTGTGCTATTTGTAAAGCTGACCTTAGCTGGCACAGGAGCACATCCATGCTGGAGAATCTGAAGAGGAAACACATCGGCTCACTGGATAAAGAAGATTCATTTTGGTAGGATAGCTGGGCTAACTAGTTAGCTAGGGCTTACGTTAAAAGCCATCGTACTTCATGTTATGAGCTGTAACATCTTTTTCAAAATGCATGCTCTCTTGAATTGTTAATGGAGTTTGAAAAGCGAAGCAAGTAACTGATTCACAACAAGCCTGTTCACATTCAAATAATGTTTACAGTTTTAAACAATGCATTGCTGTCTTAATGTTGAGGCCACCGTTGTGTTCAATTCAGCGAACATAGGAGAACATTTGCAAACAGTTTTATGTTTTCTGCGAATGTTAGCCACCACTTGCAAGCAATTTCAGTGGGTAGTTCTGCGCGAACATACAGGTCAGCTGGACGAAGGGTTACCGTTGAAATGAAATGTTTACACAAAAACGTTCAAATTTAACTGTTGATAGAGAACAAGTTTGTCACAAATATTCGCCAGTTTACCATCTGCTCCTTCAGAGCGCATCTTCTCTGCAGCGGGGAATGTCTGAGGAGAGCAGGCCTCTCACAAGAGCACAGAGAGATGCTGACTTTCCTCCGTTTCAGTGAAGACCTGTGGTTGTAGAATTTAGTTGCCACAGAGTGTAGACGGACAGTAGAATGCACAAAGCACAGACTGCACTGTTTAAACTGATCATTTAAATTAAGATTGATATTTTTTTTTTAAAGGAAACTTATTTTATCGCTGATACTTTGCACATCCTTGGTTTAAATTTTTACAGGAAAAAGATTTTGGAGTTTTATTTATCCTTTGTATTAGCAGGAAAGTTCATTAGAACTGTGAATTTTTGAACACGTTATTCATCTTTATTGTCTTCGTTATTGGTTAGCTAATGCATAATTGAAAGAGTCGGAAAAACAATTTATGCGCTGAGGTCAAATACATATATGTGTGTGTGTCTCAAATGTTCTGCTTAGCTAGTGGGTCTTTGTTGTCTGCAGGGCACTGAAGGCGCTGTGGCAATACCTGGGTTCCAAAGGAATCAGCACTACTCTCATCTGGGAGAAAATTAAGGATATGGTCATTAAAACTATCATTGCGTAAGTGTGTTTGCACTCTATGCTTATGTAGCCTTGCTTTTATTTAACTTTTAACCAAGATTCTTAATTGAATTTCTGGCCTTTGTCTTTGTAACTGCAACTGGAGCAAGTCACCACAGTACGCATTCTGGTAGGGCATACATTTCACACTTTATTATGGGAGGGTTGTTGGAAGATGTGAAACCGCATTCAGCGAGTTTTTGAACCGTTATTTCCCTGAACTTCGTGCCTCTGCAAATTCTTAAATGACTGCACAGATGATGTAATTTCACTAAAAAGGGGAGGTTGCAGAGACAGTGACTAGTGACTATATTTTTTTGTTCTGGCTGTACGTCATATTTTCTTGACAGTGTTTTGTTAAGTGTTAATGATGCCTTGGTAATTTTGTTTCTTCTTCACCATGAAAATGAAGAGTTTTTTCCCCCAGATAAATTCTACATAAAGTGTTAAATTATAAAGCCTGGGGATTTTACTGTATACTTCCCATAAAATCCCCTGCATTTAAGGGTATTCCCCCATTTCTTGAATAGGGGAAAACCTGGAAACTTGATTGGTCATTACAAAACGAATTACTATCCACTGGCTCAGATAAGGAAAAAATAGCTATTTTCAAGAGCCTTGTGACTTGCAAAAATCACCAAACGATGTGCAATAGCGCAAGTATGATATATGTCCAAAGGTTTGTAGACATCTGCTCAACCAGTGTTTCTATTAATAGGGGGTTTGCCCCCCTTTGCTGCAAACAGGTTTATTTATATAGTACATTTCGCACACAAAGGAAATTGAACATGCTTTACAGAAATCAAGGCAAAAAGGAATATCAAAAGTAAAAAAGAAAAAGTGCAGTAACAGCTACTGCTGGGAAGGCTTTACACTAGATGTTGGAAAATTGCTGGTAGGATTTGACAGCATTCAGCCACAAGGGCATTGGAGAGATTAGGTATTCATGTTAAATGATTAGGTCTGGATCACAAACCCTGCTCCAACTCATCTCAGAAGTATTTTAGTGGTGCGCCAGAGAACACTGTTCCACTGCTCCGCAGTCCAATGGTTAGGAGCTTCAGACCAGCTTTAGATGCCTGGCATTATGCATGGTAACTCATGTGCAGCTGCTCCAGAACATCTCATTCTATTGAGAAGAATGCCTAGAATGCTTGTGTATATAGTGAGTACACCTTAAAAGTAGCTGAATTCATTAATCGACAGGGTTGTGTGGATACTTTTGGAAATACAGTGTGTGTCTAACCAAATGCATGCATCTGTTCACTACAATACTTCTGTGAAGGTAGAACCCACCATGTGTGAGAGCTCACTGTGATGACTCCTGATGACTGTGATGTGCTCCTCTGTCTGGTTGTAGTTCACATTTTTAAACACGTTGAACTAGTTAGATCAGACTGACCGGTTGTATTTTAGTTAAATACTGTATTGTGTTAAATTAAACAGACTTTGTTCTCTTTACACTACCAGGTCAGACCCATACGTGAACTCCCTGGTGAAGATGCATGTGCGTTCCCCGTACAGCTGTCACGAGCTGTTTGGTTTTGACATCATGCTGGATGAAAACCTTAAGCCATGGGTTCTGGAGGTCAACATCTCGCCCAGGTACTGATCAATGCAGTAGCACAGCTTTGACAAAACAGATGCTACTTGCTGTACAGACTGATTTGACCAGTGTCCAGTCTTAGGATCTGCTGGGTGCACTAGTTAAATATTTTGTGGTAGATACCCGCAGATAAGATTATTATTTCGCCAGTGTACACAAAATAAAATGTAGAACTTCAGTGTCAGAGACATTGTATGCAGCATCTTCATGGTTTTCTCAGTGCAATCAACAAGCCAACAGACCTTCTGTCTGTATAGCCTCCACTCCAACAGTGCACTGGACGTGAGTATTAAGGGCCAGATGATCAGGGATGTGCTGAACCTGGCTGGCTTTGTTCTGCCTCACAAAGACGACATCATCCCCCCCAGCAGCAGCGACAGCAGCTCCACCAGCAGGTTAGAATTGGAATTACAATTATGGATTTGCTTACCTAATTTATCTGTTTTTGTTTATAACTAATTAACTAAATTTTTTTCAATGTTTAAATTGCTTTAAGTAGGGGAGTAACAAGATACTCAATTCACAATTGATTTAATTCACAATACAGGCTTCACAGTTCAATGTTTATGGTATTTTGAGCGAAAAAAAAGAATCAAGAAAAATTATGACTATGCTCAATTTTTTACACAACCTATTATTGAGACTACAGCTGTTTTATGAGACGCTGAACATGCTGTATGGGTTAAACTGCAGTTTTTGGTATTCAGTCAGTGCAATTTCATTAAATGGCATAATGCACAGAAGTGTTATTGCTGTCTCAGTATATTTTGTATTGTTACACCCCCAGGACTATCTTTTAATGAAGTCAGTTGCTGTATAATCAATAATTAATATCTTGTTATAAAAACTGTTCTGCTCTCAGTGTGCCTTGTTTCTGACTTTTGAAAACGCTATGATTTGTATGTACTTTTAATGTATGATAATGCTGGTGTAGTAATTTTGAAATGTAATATTCAGTTTGTGCGGAGGAGTGCGAGAGAAATCAAGATTAGACCTGTCTGCTGATGAAAAAGTGAAGAGGGCCTTCTATCTTACCCAGCGCTTTGGGGACCAGGTACATGCACATGTTAAAACCAAGAGATTCCTTTCAAAGTTAGAGCTACAGATTGATTGATGCATAACTCTGGTATCATAGTGTCAGTCACACCACACTGACTAGCTCTGAAGATATTTTCAGTGTAAAGTGTATTGTAGACTCTGGTATGCTTCACTGTGTTTTAGGATTTTTACTCAACGGTTCTGGACGTGCTGACCCCAGATGATGTGCGTGTTTTGGCCGAGAGTGAAGATGAGCTGAGTCGGCAGGGCGAGTTTGAGCGTGTTTTTCCCTCCCCTGCCTCCTCCCGCTACCTCCGATTCTTTGAACACCCGCGCTACCTCAACATCCTCCTCAATCAGTGGGAGCAGAAATACTGCCAGAACCGGAGCAAAGGTGTGTGTGGAAGCTGTAAAAAAAATTAACAAGTTTTTAATATGTCCAGAATGATGAACAGAGCTATAGATGACATTACAATAAAATTAACATCCAATATGCCTTGTATTTGAAAAGTGGTGATCAAGTCTCAAGGCAGATAACTTGGCAAGAAAATATTTAAAATAGATAATTATAGTATATTGTTCATCATTTGATAGCCTCTTAGTGTTGACAGAAATATTTTGAATAGTATTATGTCTATTCTGGCTGCTGCCAGTGTTTTCCTGCTGATGTGTAGTGTAAGCCTCTAACTTGTGTGTGTATGCTGGTATTTTGTATTGTACTTCAGTATTTGGTGGTGTGTGTGCGAGGTTTGATTATGATTTGCTGTTAATGATGTGTGCTGGTCTGTGTCCAGGTATTGAACTGCTGAGGAGTCTGTGTCAGAAAAAAGTACACTTGGGGAATCTTGCTGACTCTGCACATCATGTAAGTATTTATTATATCAGACAGTAGTATTGATTGCATAGGCTCATGCAGTGTTTGGACACAAAACAATCTGAAGTAGAATAGAAGGGAATCTTTTTGGTTTTCTAAGATATGCACTTTATACATTACACATTATAACCATGTGTTTTGGGTGACATCATGGAAGTAATGAGATTGAGTATAGTAATATGATGAGTAAGAACAGGCCCTTTTTTAAATAAAAAAAAAGGTTTAAATTTTATACAATGGCATATTTTTGGATAATTTTGAATGACTTATGTTTCTGATCCCAGTGGTCTTCAAAGTCCTACCATGGATACCGATCTGATATCCACAATGCCACATCACTGAGAACAGAGCAAACAAAATCAAGGTATAAAAAGTCACACACACATCCATTAATCTAATACCCTTTTCAGGTTGTATGTTTCTGTTTTAACACTTTGTCTCCCGCAGTGTTATGGTGAGTCAGAGCATGAGGTCCAAGCTGGATGATGATGATGATGATGATGATGATGATGATGATGATGGCTGGTCTGATCATGAGGTTCAGTCAATGACTTCCAGTCTTCCAGATATGAGCCTGCTGGGTTCAGTAAGTCCCAGCCCAAGCCCCAGCCCTAGCCTGGCCAGCGACAGCCTGCTTCATCAGAATTACCTGTGAGATTCACCATGTAGTCTCAAAACGGCTGACATCTAGGGCTTCCAACCACGCACAAACTTGCATACGCTCAGATTTATAGTTGCTGGATAAACACATTCTCTCATGTTCTGTCTTTAGTGTGTTCAGTTGTATAATTTTACCCCCTCAGGAAGTGGGGTTCGGGCTTGGGGAACAGATGAGAGAACTCTGAAATGAAAGTATAGCAGACTTTAATGGTCAAACTGATGACCGTTTTAATCATAAAAATGTTTTCTCGACTAAAGTTGCGTGTTTTAAGGAAAGCCTTGTAGAGCTCTTCAAAGCACAGATATATATATATATATATATATATATTTATATACTGTGTTTGTATATGCAACCTCTGCTTCTTTTGGGAGGAGCTAATCTGGAGTCATGCCTGTGAGCATGAGCCAATGAGATTCCTTTTCTGCTTTGTTTACATTTTAGGTCAGCCCACTGTTGGGGTCAGTACTATTTACAACTGGCAACTGAATTTGAGTAGTTTCATCAGTAATAATAATAATAATAATAATAATAATAATAATAATGGTCATAAATCTAAAGAAATGTATCATTTTATCAGCCTTTCCCAATAAAAGGAAGTAACTTCTGGTTTTAGAATTTTCACATTAAAAATGTTTGAAAATAATTTGACTGTTGTTTTTTTTTGTTTTGTTTTGGGTTTTTTTGGGTCACCAACTTGATTTTAAACAGTAATGCTATTTAAGGAATGTGTTGTAGTTGAAGAATTTCTAATTATTTGTGACCAAAGTGAGAGTCTATTTACAGAAACTATTAGTCTCCTGTGTGTCTGCGGTTTTCTTTATGTAGCAACTGCTACAACCAGTTCTTGTAATACTGTGCGGTCAGTAAGGTCTCTCAAGGGATGTTGAGCTTTAGCTATTAATACTTGGAGCTTTACTTACCACTTATTGTACTTAGCAGTCAGTAGATATCTGTCCAGTTCTGCATTAGTTGGTTAGCATATTTTTTTCATGTTTGGTTAGAGAGATGTTTGGCTTAGTTCTTAACTCTTTACACAAGGGTTTTTTTTTCAGTCTGAGAAACCTCTTCAGTGCTGAGTCATGCTGAAAGAGATAGCTGAATGCCAGAAGCATAAAGCCACATAACCCATCAGGACACAGGAGGTAAAAATAGCCACTTCCATAATGGCATGTTGAAATTCCCTGCTACCAGCTACTGAGTAAGATGTAGATGTTTCAATGTAGAGAACAAAACTGAACTTTAAATTTTCCCTACTCTTCTATTTTTAAAGTGTCAATAGATCTTTGACAAATACCAGCACTTTTAAATTGCCTAGTTTACAAATGAATTTAATGGTCTTAAACACCAGAGCCATCTTGGTAAAGGTTTAAATTGAGCATTCAAGATGGCTCAAATCTTGACATAAATACCATATGCCCCATAAAATTTTGGACATTGTGGTGCAAGTTTGGCCCTTTTTGATTGCACGCTCTTCAGTAAGGCATAACTATATCAGCACTGCAGAAGTGCACTGTAACATCACTTTCCCAGCCAAAGTTATTATACCAGTTCCTGACTGGTAATTTGAGCACTGTAGCCCACCCTGTTTGCTGTGTACACACAGCCTCTAATCTGCGATTCCCCTCCCCCACCAGCCTGGCTAGCCCCTCTGCATGCCTGATGCCATCTCCTGATTTAGACCCTGCAATGGTACTCTGGGCTCTGGGGGACTAGAGCAGAGTTGGAGCATGGTTATTACACAGCAGCATAGTCAGTAAAGACTTCCACTGACCCATTCTCTCAGCCTCACATCTGAGACCCTAGCCAGAGACATGGACCCTGTCCCCGAGGTAAGATGCTGAGCAAAATCTGTGTGCATGAGCGAGAGAGAAAGAGAAACGTATTCAAGCAACAGGTGCAGTATTTTGGCCTGAGATTTGTCAACTGCCACCTTTAAGGATGCTGTCAGTATCAGCTTGATTTGATTGAATTGATGTGTACCGTGGTAGAGAACATGTATGTGAAATGCAGGAGTGTGATGTGACAAAGGCATAAATTCAGTTTGCTTCTTGGTTAACACTGGTAAAAACTTCTCGCCAAAGCCCTGTGAGAGGGTCAAGTTCACTGTCACAGTGGGACACTACAAAGAGTTTAAATTAAGTGAGTGTACAATTAGAGACTAATATGTTATCATGGCTTTACACATTATTTTAAATTAATATGTACATCAGATGTGTGATATGTGCCCAGCAGTGTATTTTGCTCACTCTTGGCCAGTGAGATTCTGATATCTCTATATATTATACTATATTCCACCAGACACAGCAAATGGTTTGTATAAAACGACACATTCTGAAGTGACCCAGTCTGCATACTTTAACTGTTTACTTTTTAAACACAGACAAGTAAACACTAAGAAATAGATGGATAGATGTCATAGATGTCATAGATAGTTGAGTGGATTTACCTTATTGCTCCCTGAGGGCAAAAGGGATACAATATTTTAATGTAATTGTGTGATAGTTCAGTGACTGAAATGAGCTCGCAGTGAGGCTTACTTTTGTTTCCCAATTTTTGTGTAATAGTTTAGTGTAAGATACAATATAAGATAGAGGTTTTTTTTTTCCTCCTTTACCATCTCCCTAGATTCCCTTTATGGAAGATGAGGGGCTTACAATGAGGAGGACAGGTATCTACTGTTTGTGTGTGCTGATTGTGATCATGTTCTTCTTTTCTATTTCTAAAGTTCACAAAACATCATACAATATGGTGCAAAAGGCAGAGACCATGGTTCTTTTATTTAATTTCCAAGTTATTAATTGAAGTACGTTATTCTTTTCAGGATATATTTCTTATGAAAGTAGATATAAAATAGCCCAAAGCATAGGGAAAGTCAACCAAAAATAAGCATAAAGGGCTCCTAACAAGTGTAGAAGACCACCGAAACTGTCACCATCAGATAAACAGTACTACAAGCTTTCATCTTTGAGAGAGAGGAGAAAATCCAGATCTGAAAAAATCCATGTTTGTCCATCCTTCCACTATGAGAAGACACTGTACTGAGGGTCTGAAAGGATGTGTAGCTGTCAAGAATCTGTTATTGAGAAAAAAATAGGCATAAAAGAAGAAAATTTGCAAATCAAACAAAGAAGCTGCTGACGTTCTTAGAATAATAGACCAACCACCCCAGAGTCCAGAACTTAATATTATTGAATGTATTTGGGAGTGCTTGGATTGTGAGAAACAAAAAAATGTGACCAACGTCTAAGCCTGAACTTTGGAGGTGTGGAAAAATATCCCTGCAGGTCTCTTTGAAACACTGAAGCTGGAAAGACGAGGCTGAAATACCTGATCAGATGTGATGTGTAATTGTTGAGCCTTCTGTGAAATTTTCTTTTAAATATATTTCCTGCTTTTTTCACCGTGAAAAATGAATAACTTAATCTGATTTGACAGGAAATGTAATAAATGAAGGCCGTTCTCTGACTTTTGCACAGTACTGAATATTACCGAAAACAGGAAATAAATTTTGAAGTTATGTAAATGCTGCTAAAAATGTGAAAACCTGATTATGTAATAGCCTGTACTGCAGTCTGTGCCTGTACTGACTGCAGAGTCAGACTGACCGACCTGCAGCAGGATTCTCCTCCGCTGCCTTCTTCTACAGAACCTGCTCGAGATCCGGATGAAGACATCTACACCAAGTTCTTCATGAACCACTGCTGTTATGACGCCATTCCAACCAGCTCCAAACTGCTCATTTTTGATACAACACTGCAGGTGACCTAAAAAGACAACTCTTTATGGATGTTCTACAGCAGTGGCCTCCAACCCTGGATCCTCCTGCAGAGATTAGTTCCAACTTGTATCTGCCATTTACTTAACTCTAATACATCTGATACAGCCAATCAGACGCTTGGGAAGAGGCTGATTAACTGGAGCAGGTGTGGCAAATTGTGGTTGGAAGGTAGCTCTCCAGGACGAGGGTTAGAGACCACTGTTCCAGAGGCGCGTGTAATAGATCTTTTATTATACTGTATTATAGTCATATGCAGAATCTGGGCACCCCAGTCAAATAACAGGTATGGTTGACTTTCTAAGTGAAAATAAGTTAACACATCATTTACAGAGAACACAGTTCTGCACATTTTAATACACAATTATTGTTTATTTGCTGACTTTATATGTTGGAGAAAAAATAATATCTAAAAATAAAAAATAAACAAAATATTTTTTTCAATATTTTAAATGCAGCAAATAAACAGAAATTGTGCACTAAGATTTGTAGGAAAATGCCACTGTAATTTGTCCAGGTGTGTTCAAACCTTTGCATGAAACTGTAATTATATTCTCTTAAAATTTTAAAAAATATTTCTTACTTTTTTTGTGTTGTAGAACTAAATTCATGCATAGGCATGAACGTCACTGTGTATATATCTGTTTTAGAAATACATTTTAGGCATTTAAGCGTAAGCCTTTAGATCAGAATGTCTTTATGAGTTTGAGAAACACATGCAGTCGGGTGTACTCAGGCTTTTGACTGGTACTGTATATTAGTTGTGGAGCTCAGGTTTCACTCCTTAGTTTGTAAGCTAAGTGTTAGCTTTTAGTTATATGCATTTTGTGTTTGTTGACTGTAGGTGAAAAAGGCGTTCTTCGCCTTAGTTGCTAACGGAGTCCGAGCTGCACCTTTATGGGACAACAAGCAGCAGTGTTTTGTAGGTAAGTGGACCTGAGCGCTGACTGCCATGCACTTTAACCTTTAAAGGTTGAGTCATTTATGAACGTGAATCAGATGACTGACATCGAGTAATGCACCGTAACTCGTAAATGTATATTGAGCACTGCATGAAGTGTTAGTCACGCCGAATGATGAAGAGTCTAAGCTAAAGTTCTTTCAAAAATGCGTTGGTTTAATTTTTTTTTTTATCTACTGCAAGTATTTTGTTTATTTTTTAAATCCTTTTCCTTGTTCTTCTGAATGCATTGTAAAGTTCTTGAAATACCACATCCATGTGACATAAAGTCTGATAACCTTTCATATCATATGTTTATTTAATGCTGGACTTTTCTCACTATTCTTCATTATACCTACGTAGAGATCCCAGCTCAGCACTTTTTAAACTGTTCATTTTCAATTAAACAGTCCATCTGGTCCCAAAGTTCTAAGACATGTTCTAGTTCTCAAAGTTCTAGAAATGGCAGGATGGTGATCTAATCCCCATATCTTCCCCAGGGTATTAATAGTCACCCAACTACACTAGGTAACTGATCCCTCTGAAAGGTTCTTGAGGTGTGAAAAGCTATCATTATGAACAGTAACATATGAGTTTAGCATGTGTGTGAATCACAAGTGGTTGCATTAAAATGCCACTTTTTTGTGGGAGAAAGATGTAATATCTGATGTTGATTTAATGCAAACTATCTTGTAAATGTGTATCTCTACTGTACCCGTATGTTTACAGGAATGCTTACTATAACAGACTTTATTAACATTCTCCACCGATATTACAAATCACCCATGGTAAGTATTTCAGGTTTTGATGGTTACAAAATGAAACTGTTTTTCAAGTTAAATATCCTCGTTTTGGTAAATCTGTGAACAGAACCAAGATTCAAGCGCATTAATGTGTCCTGCTTTTCCGTTGCTGTTTTAGGTTCAGATCTATGAGTTGGAAGAACACAAGATTGAAACCTGGAGAGGTGATTGTGTATAGTTAATATTCAGTCACCTGTTTCATATCAGGCTTGTAGTTTTTTTTTTTTTTACAGCTCCTGTCTTCTCTCCTGTTCCAGAGGTCTACCTTCAATATTCCATCACCTCTCTGATCAGCATCACCCCTGACTCCAGGTAAAACTAGGGCCTCTGCAACAGTCTTCTCTTTCTTTTTTTTCTCTCTTTCCCTCCAGTGCCCAAGAGTGACAGAGAGTTGTGTTTTCCATCGTCAGCCTCTTTGATGCCATTTACTCCCTACTGAAGAACAAGATTCATAGGCTGCCTGTCATAGATCCAGAATCAGGGAATGTTCTGCACATATTGACCCACAAACGCATCCTGAAATTCCTTCACATCTTTGTGAGAACTTTTTTAAAATATACATCTTTGATTCCTATGAAATGTGTCAGTTCCTCACGGTAGACCCCAGTCATGTTTTTTTCTCTTTTTTTTGATTTCACAGGGTTCCATGATCCCAAAGCCACGATTCTTACAGAAGAGAATTGAGGAGGTTGAAATTGGAACATTCAAGAAGATCGCCACAGTCCAAGAGACAGCCATGGTTTATGATGCATTATCAATATTTGTTGAGCGACGAGTATCAGCCCTGCCCGTTGTAAATGAACAGGGTATTTTCTGCTTGGGACACATGACAAGAAAGGACAGATTTTTAGTGCTTTCCAACATGAATTTGATGAATATAGTTTTGAAATATGTCTTTTGTCTCTAGGGAAGGTGGTGGCGCTCTACTCCAGGTTTGATGTCATTGTAAGTGTGGAGCCAGACCTTTTTTCCAAGTAATTTTTTTACACACAGTGTAAATGGTAACACACACACACACACACACACATTATTTATATATATATATATATATATATATATATATATGTGTGTGTGTGTGTGTGTGTGTACATATATGTATATGTAAGGGTGACATATAATTCAACAGCATATAGATTTCAAAACAACAATACAGCTATATAGACTACATGACCTGAATAAGTGAACAGTGTCTCACCATAAGAATTTCTCATGTATTTTATTGACTATAGAACCTGGCTGCACAGAAAAATTACAATAACCTCAACATGACAATGCGAGAAGCAATCGAGGGCCGCTCGTGCTGCATTGAAGGAGTGCTGAAATGTTACCCACATGAGACCCTGGAGACTATCATCAATCGCATAGCTGAAGCAGAGGTAACCCAATGTCAATTTATAGTAATAAGGTCGCTTTCTGGCTACATATTAAACCTCCTAGCCACAAACATGTCTGTATAGATTACTCATTTGAAATTCTGTTTAGGTTAGGAATATACGGTACTTTTAGAACTGTAGTACGCTTCTGTTTCAGACCCGTCTTAATCCAAACCTAGAAAACCATCCTTCCATGGCTTCAAGCTGGCTTTAAATAAGACACGGACATATGCTAATTTTACCCTAATTTTAAGCTATCCTGTTCAACTGAAAAATATCTTTAGTGTTTAGTGTTCCAGCCAAGACTGTGTCACTGCTGCATCATCTGATCCCATGATGAAATATCTACTCTGATCTAGGTTCACCGTCTAGTTTTAGTGGATGAAGAGGACACAGTTAAGGGAATCATCTCACTGTCTGACCTGCTGCAGGCATTGGTCCTGACTCCAGCAGGTATTGATGCTCTTTTCTCTTAACACTTGTGGAGAAGTGATCTCTCCACCACCTTCCCACAGCCTTCTTGTCCCAGGTAGGCAGCGTGCCCTTCCTCCCTGTAGCTGCCTGTTTTCAGCCTGCCTGCCAACTAGTAGAGATGAACCTGCACTGTTACTTCTGCTTGTCTGCCATGCCAGTATGCATCCCTCCAAGGCTGAAGTCAGCAACTATGCGGCCACTTTAGGCTACTGTTGGACCACTGTGCTGGATCTTATTTTGATCTGATCAACTGGGAGCATCTGGAATGATCAAACCAAGAATCTACGCTGGGATTCTTGTCTGTTGACCGACTCAATGCAATTGTCTGTTTAATACCAGATATTTTTGTCTAATACAATGTATACTTGATATTTTTGGTGGTAGAGTATGACAGATATCACTTTGCTGGGCAAGGTTGCTCTGTGCTGCTATTACTGAAGCATGTCAGTTTACAAGTGCCCCTCTAGGATGCTGTAACAGAGATGCAGAGATCCTAGATCAGCACTCCTACTCTGAAATACTTTATTAATACAGCTTCTAGACTGCATGAGGTATGCTAGACTTTGAATGTCTTTATACTGCATACAAACAAGGTTAATATGCCAAAGAAGCAACTATATATCAATACACTGAATGATTACAAAGTTGAGTATTAGGCAAATGATAACTGATCAATAAGATCATCAGTGTAATTTGTTTTTTCATGCAATTCTATTTTCCAGAGATTTCATCCAAAGCAGACTATGACCATTAAGGACAATATGCAATGAAGATTATGGATGAAGATAAAAATTGTATATAAGTAATGAAGCCTAGATTAGGAGTTTTTATATATTTATTTTTGTGTATATTTGTATAGATTTAATTATGAAGAAAAATACTTTTGTTGCATCAGCATTCATATTATCGCTGTCTAAAGAAAATCTCAACGAAAATGGCAACTTTACAGGAGAGGGCAAAAACTTTTCTTTACTTTTAATGAAAGTTAATTTAAAGAGATTTTTTTCCAAGCAATTTTGGAGCATTTTTATTGGTCCATTCATCATGAAATTTTCACATAATGTAAAGGGCATAATGTAAAGATCTCAAATGATGTAAAACAATAAATAAAAATCACAAGAAATAGCGATACTTGTTTTTGTTTGTTTTTGGACAGCTTCAATATGCAAATTATGGCCACCCCGCCATCTACTTGCATCATTTTGGTGTGCAGTATTAGATTCCTAGTCTAAAAAATTAAGCCTTATTCATGATTCACTTTTTTCATGGACATTCGGCTGCAGAACACTGTCAGGTAACTCGTGCACTGAGGGTCACAAGCAGTCATCATGTTCGTGACATCAAACGTTTACATGTAATTCAGCCACTCACTGACTGGCCAGGACTTAAAGGGTCTATATTGTGAATATTGGTCTTTTCATGTAACTTGTAAGGAGTTAACACTGAGAAAATCAGTTCATGTCATTCTTTGGGGAAAAAAGTCATGTATGTATGTAATGTATGCAAGATGTATGTATGTATATGTTTACCATCCATTGCAGTGCTGGCTGAAGTCTAGCTGCTCATGCACCACATGCGGATGAGAGCATCTGTGAGTGTAGCTCTCTAACTCAAATGCAACTTTTTCAATGCCTTCAGCAGACTGGCCTGGACAGTGCTCACAAGAGACCCTAAGAAAAAACGCAGTTCCTCCTGAGAGCTTCCACTGTAACAAGTCCACAAGCTGCATGCAAAATAACAAGAAAGACAGCAAAGGGGCTACAATCATGGAGGCGCCAGAACCATTGAAAGTGTATGTGTCATTCATGATATATACTCTCATTGGACAGAACATGCACCGCTGTTGCTCTCACTGGATGTCTGTGATGGAAACTGGATGTTCAGGTTTATGTGAACCCTGCTGCAGTTCCCCTCAAGAGCCTGCACTATTACAAGAATACACCAGCTCTATGAACGAGAGTTCAGCCTAAGAACGAGAGGATTACAATTAGGGATGCACTGGTCATGATTTTTTATAGAAAATTCCAATTTCTTTACAGGCAAACTGCCATATGGCTGATTGCTTATTAGCTTTTTTTTAGCACAAAGCTCACACTGTTAAAATAAACTCATAAAAACACTGGCACATTTTCAGTACTTTCTTCCAGCAAAGTCGCAATAAAAAAACAATAATGGACCAAAAAGACACACACATATTTGGATTGTTACTTTATCTCATACTGGTCTATAAATCAATGCTAAAACAATTTAGTGGTTAACTTAAGGCTAGTTTTGTTGAATGTGATAGGCTGATTTAAACTAGGCACTGTTATAGGATCAGTCATTCCCATTTATTCTGCTTTCAGCAGTTTTAGAAAACAGATTTTTTTGGAAGAATGATGAAGAATGGATGGAGGATGAAGGTTTACTGTAAATCTGCTGTAAGGGATAATTTTGTGATGTCAGACTAACATCTTACAATGTCGGACTCAAAAAAACACTTTCCCAGAGTTGAACTGTCCAACTTTTAAAATGGAACTGAAGTTTCACATTCTAACACATCTCTACCTAAACCTGCTATGATTTTTATGATTAAGTTGCCTTTTTGCTGTTGTCTTTTATGTGTAAGATTCATATTCAAACTAGTTGATGATACATCCAGAAATTCTGCTTTAGCCCAGCCCAGTCTATGACATGTATCAAGTGATTTGTATATTGCTTATACAAATAGTTTGTGCTAAAATCTGCATTTAAACTATGTGTTTTTACTCACCCACAATAAAACAGTCTGTACGAACAAAGTTCAGCATATCAGGTGCTCTGATCTGCATATTTACCAGGGGTGTATTTGTTCATCTACCAGTTCCACACATCCTGGTCTCACTCAGCAAATAGTGTCCCTATCTAAGCAGCGTTAGGTGACTTATAATGTACTATATTTAATCGTTACTGTTACAGTTACTATATCATTGTTATCAGACATCATCTAACAGATATTTGCATCAGTGGTTTAGAATTCATTATTGTTTAAAGTCATTGATTGTGTACTGTTGTGTTCTGTCAATGTTTAGTTGTAATTAGACCTTTTTTTTAAATCTTCTCTATAGACATCAGTCCTAGATGCCTGTATGCGTAGAGTAAACAGAACAGAAGGCATGATTACTGTCTCCAGTGCCATATGTTAAGTACTTTTATGACCTCAGTAATAAAAATACACAGTTTCTATTACAAAAGAAGAAGAAGAAAAAAGGTTAATAACTGACATGTCTACTAATATATATAAGATTTAAAGTAACTATTATGGTGGAATGCTTTTTATTTCTTTATTTGTTTTTTCTTTAGGTAGTTGGATCACTGTCATCACGCTGTTTTTCACTAATTGAACTAGACTTTCTCTACGAAAATAAACTGATACTTTGTAGATAGATTTTTGTCTTTTCTAATTGTCATACCGCTGCTGCATCATGTTGCAGGTGGTTCACTTCAGTGTCCACAAATATGCAGTTGTCTCTCAATACCGCCCTTGTTTATCCTTTTGCCACAGAAAGTCAAATAGACGTGAGAGGGAGGGTGTGTTAATTCCACTGCACTGTCTGTATTGAGGAGGTGTCAAGCGATACATTCATGAATTCGATTGGAAAACCATCGCATAGGCATCTTTCATATTCCCTGTGGCCTGATGGACTGTAATAGACAGCTTTCATTAGTATTTTGATGTTTGTTGTGAAACGAAAGGATGGATCAAGACAAAGACGGCTCACCGTCGCAAAGGTAAGCATCATAATATGATTAATATGACAAAGAAATGAGAGGGAAATTAAATTTCACTTCCACATAGTGAAGTAGATCTAGTTGTTGATTTGATGTGCAGATTTCACATGTTCCTCATGTGATTATGTATGTGAGAGAGAGAGAAAAGAGAAATACATTTGGATCTTACATAGACCAATATTTGTTCATGTTTTCCAGCAAAAATGTATTTGGAATAAAAATGAAGAAGAGGAAAAAGAAAGCCGGCAAAGGTCTAGTCTTTGCAAACAAAGGTGCTCAAGGTACAGCCTTCAAAGCAAACACAAGCTCATGTAAAGATGCTGAGCCCTTAATGGGGATTAACACCATGTAATTGTTGACGGCTGACAGACTGCAAACTGATCCAGGATTTCAGACATACGCTGACCGCTGTAACTGTACTTGTAGATGAACATGGCTTTGATTAAACATAATCCTTCTAGATGAATCTGAGGTCGAAGCTGTTCCTGATGAGGCACCAGTTTTAGACCTTGAAAACCCTGAAAGTGGCAGTGAAGCCGGCGCCTCTGTTTGCCTCCCCTTCAGACAAGTGATCAATACAAAGAGGTAGCAAACTCTCCCTTATTTACCCAGTTCAATACTGGTTCACATATGTATCTACATGCTTGTTGCACTTTATAATGTCTTAACAGAGCCAAACCTGCAGCCAAGATTTTGGAAAGTGAGAGCAGGCCACAGGCTTTCCAGGTAGAGGTGCCATTACAGTTCATATTGAGACAGGAGTAGCATCTGATTACACTATAGAATATTTCATTTTAGTGTTTGATTATGGTGATGAAATGCAGAGTTGATAAAGAAATGACTATCTTTATGACTAAATCTCCAAAGATCTCCATCAATATCACAGAAGCTAGACAGTTGGTGGGCGAGAACATTGATCCCAGTGTGGTGATTGAAATTGGAGATGAAAAGAAACAAACTTCAGTCAAAGAGGGGACAAATGCACCATTTTACAATGAGGTGACTTGCCTTTACTCCATAGTTTCACCATTGGATATTTCAGTGGATTTGAGTAGAATTTTTAATGCCATATACTGTATAACTAAATTACTGTTTACTTCCCTACAGTATTTTGTGTTTGACTTCTTTGCCCACCAAGAAATCTTTTTTGACAAAGTCATTAAACTATCAGTAAGTATTTAAGCACAGATCATCAAGTTTTTCCTAAGCCTGTGCCATCCAGATTTAATTTTGGTGTGCTGACTTGATCTTTTTTATAAAGGTGATGCATTCAAAGATCATGAAAAGCTACTGTATTGGGACATTCAAGATTGATGTTGGAACCGTCTACAACCAGCCTGGTAAGATCTCCTATATTTAAATGAAATAGCTCTTCAGTCTTATTATTTTCAAAATCTAAACTACTTCTTTTCTGTACCAGGTCATCAATTTGTCAATAAGTGGGCAGCACTTATTGATCCTACAGATATCAGCACAGGGGTCAAAGGTCACCTCAAGTGTGACATCAGCGTGGCAGGGAAAGGGGATTTGTCCTCCCGTTCTCAGAAGTTCAGTGATGCTGAAGAGCAGATAGAAAAGTAATTGCTCATTTTATTTATTATTTTCTATTTACACAGGGCGAAATAGGGGATGGGCTTTACACTATGTGCGTCTTGTACTCATATATGTGCTCATACAGGGTTGCTTTTAGTATGTAGTAGTATCTCCAAAATGGTAACTTTAAAGAAGAAGGAAAAAATGTACTTTACTTTTAATGTAAGTCAATGGAACCAGACTTTTTCCCCAAGTACTTCTGTTCCATTTATTTTGTTCCATTCATGATAAAATTTACACACAATGTAAAGGGCAGCAGGTATTTTCACGTTCTGTCAAAAACTGGAAAATGACAAAAATGGAGATATGAGGTTTTATTCCGACAGCAGCAATATGTGTTCCCTGTTTGAGACGGTTTCTGATTAGCCACCTTGCCTCGCTGGAATACCCTACTGCTTATATTATTCAAACACTGACCTTCTCCAATGACCATTGTTGTTTTGATCCAGGAACCCACTGCTGCCTGAAGGTTTCCCGTCTATGCGCCCATGGGCTACCTATTATGTGAAAGTATACAAAGCAGAGGGTCTTCCCAGAATGAACTCGAGCATCATGGCCAATGTGACCAAAGCCTTTGTTAGTGACAACACAGCTCTCATAGATCCGTACGTGGTGGTGTCATTCTTTGGCCAGGTGGTAAGTCTATTTAGTAAGTAGTATTTACTGTTGAGCAGTATTGAATAAACTCGGCTGTCCAGTGATCCCTGGAGTAGGGTGGAGTAGTCTAAACCCACAGTCCACTAAAAATTTTGTTCCATTACTGAAAAAATGACTCAAGCAGATGTAAAAGTACCTTTCAAAAAAAAAAAAAGGTCCTTAGGTCCTATTCCTCTCTTTTTGATGCACTAAAAATATACTCAAGCAAAGTCAGTGGTGTGACCACACAGACATTAACCACAAAAAGGAGCTAGTTACTAAGTATTTAGCACTAATTTGTAACCTCACAAATATACTTGAGTGGAAATCAATGTAATATTTTGATTTGAAAAATACTCAAGAAAGAATAAATCCATCAAAATTGTACTTAAGCACATGTAACTGAGTAAATGTGTCTACTTACTGCCTCTGGTGAGCATCAACAGGGACGTTTATAACAGATTATTCAACTTCTTTGTTTGACTCTGTGCTTTTAACAGGCACGGACATCCACACAGAAGAGTACAGCAGACCCTGAATGGTATGAGCAGGTGGTGTTTAAGGAGATGTTTCCTCCTTTGTGCCAGAGACTGAAGATCCAGGTACTGGACGAAGGTAGCATGAATGATGTGGCCATTGGGACTCACTACATCGATCTTCACAGAATCTCTAATGACCAAGATGGAGATAAGGGTACAGATCAGTTACTCAAAGTTCATTTCTGTTGTTTTAAAAAAGAAAGAATGTTATGATTTTCACATGACACATGAAATATTACATGTTTCTTATATGTTATTGTAAAATTATTTCATTACAGACATACAGTATGTGCAGAAGTCTTAGGCACCTGGGAAAATAAAAGCCATTTATTTGGACAATAAGCTTTTGTTGCTCAGAAAAATGCTAATTTTAGAATAAAAACACATCTATTTTTATATTTTTATGCATAATCTACTAATATAAAACAAACTGGTTCTATGATTTTGTCAGTGTCTTTGTTTAACAAACCCCTTTTTATTTCCAAATTGTGGAAGCCTAGTATTATTTGTGTCTACCATCCAATACCTGGGTGGGTTAATCAGTCCTTTATTAAAGTAAACCAGATGTGCTGCTGGAATTTAACAAATCCATGTGATTCCTGTGGGAATTGAGGAGAAATCTGGAACCAAACCTGTGTTCAAATGCATTCATGTTAGTGTGTATTTCTTCTAATGCTATATTGTGTTTTTATAAGAAAATAAATACTGTAGTTCTTGTCCAGATGAATAGTTTTAGGCAATTTGCTTAGGTGCCTTGACTTTTGCACAGTTCTGTACTGTTATATTTTTTACCAAATTAAATTTGACCAGATGCATCCTGACCAGCATTCAAGACTGCTTAAGCTGCATTTTTCATCGTTTCACTTCCCTGCCTAGGTTTCCTCCCCACGTTTGGACCGTCATGGATTAACATCTATGGTTCACCTCGTAACTCTACACTAGTGGATGATAGCCAAGAAATGAACGAGGGAATAGGTGAAGGAGTGTCCTATCGAGGGAGGCTGTACATCCAGCTGGCTGTAGAGATCCTAACAGGAGGAGTTGAGTCTAAGTCTGTGTTCTCCCTGAAGATGCCTTTGAAAGATGTGAAGGGAGGGAAAACTGCTGGTAAAGACCCCAAAATTGGGACAGGAGGAGCAGTTGGAGGAGAGGAGGAGAAAATGGGGGTCATGGTGCTGCCTGTGGACACCCCACAAATGGTAAAGAACTTATACTCTCAGTAAAACATGTAACCTGAAAATGGTTCTATGTAGCACCAAAAAAAGTTATTCTATTGTTATGATGTCAAGCTTGTAACAATAGCAGAACCCTTTTAGTGCTATATAGCAGTGGTTCCCAACACTGGTTTTGAAGCACCCCTGCCCCACACATGGTCTTAGTGTTAGCTCTGCTCCCAACACACCTGATCTATCTAATCCGCTAATTAACAAACCCTTCCTGCATTGAAGTGGGTCTGTTTTGGCAGGAAAACACAAACATGTGCAGGGCACGGGGGTCCTCCAGGACCAGGGTTGGGAATCACTGCTTTATAGAACCGTATACAACATATTCTCTATTGATCTGAAGAACCATTTCACCATGCAAAGAACCATTGAGAATGGAAATGGTTCTATAATGAACTCATGGATCTAAACAGAACCATTCCCTTTATTAAAGAATTATTGAAGAACCATCTTTTTCAAGACTGTGTGCTCTTGTCTCATTCTTATATCTATAATTAGAGACAGCATTTATTTGTAATGTTTTGTTTGTCAAGGTCAGAGATGAAGACAAGGAAAGCTTCCTGCTCTTTGGTGCTTTATTTGAGGCTACTTTGATTGACAGGAGGATTGGAGACAAACCCATCAGCTTTGAGTTCACCATTGGTACCTCTGGTTAAATTCATATATAATTGATTGAACATATGGTTCTCAGTAGTCTCGTGATGTACTGAATTTATACTTGCATTGTATTTTGGTTCTTCAGGAAACTATGGTAACTTGATAGATGGTGCTGCCCTACCAACTTCTAAGAAAAAGGCAGAGAAGGGATCTGATCATTCAAGTCAAGAAGGAGCCATGACCAGCCCTCTTCTGGAAGCTCAGTCATCAGCGTCCTGCAAGTCCACCACACGGCCAGAGAAGCCTATTCTCGGAGATGGAAACAGGTAGGCTCACTCTTGTACTCTTATGCCAATTTCTATCACGTATTTTAAAGGGTTTCGGTACAGTACTACTATCTTATCTGTGCAGGACATACTATTATTTACCCATTTCAACATGGAAGCCCTGTATCCATGTGCGGAGCAGCTGGGAGGACCGAACGTACCGCCTTCATCATTCTAACATGCTGGATAGAATAGCACTTATGTTTGTAAGTTAACACACGTCTGTTGGCAGTTTGCATCATGTGAGCAACTGAGAGCTTACATGATTATAATAATGTTATGTCTGATCCAGGAAGAGGGAGTGGCCAAGGTAGCACAGATGGACAAGGTGATGGAGCCAGGAGTGGAGCCTCTGATGCATGCTGTATTGCGCGAATTTTGCAAAGATGCCAGGTACAGAGCAGCTGAGGTCTTCCAAGCATCACCTTAAAGGGCCCATATCATGGAAAACTGAATGTTTCTCACTTTTTAAAATAAAAGATTCAGATGTAGTTTGTAAAAGCTGTTATATGTTGTCATTTATCCACCCATTCAGCCTGCAGCAAATTAGCCCCACTCATTCATTTATGAGTCTTAAAGCTTAGAATGTTTTTGAATAAGGACAGACAATCAGAACAGGGGTCATTTACATATATCCAGCTTAAAAGCACATTAACAAAAACAGTCAGAAGGAAAGCTGGAAAATGGTCATGTTAATATTAATTATGACTGATTTTGGTTCATGAACCTGAACACCGCATGTGCTGCCAAAAGCAACAAAAAAGTAGGATATGGGCCCTTAAAATCACGTTTTGTTATATGATTTAAAGTTACAGTGAAAGCATAAAAAGTACATTGTATAAGCAAAACAGTAGTAGCAGCATTCATGAAGCTCATGATTTTTGTTATAAATAACAGTATGTCATGAATTGTCAGAAACCACGTAATCAAGTTGAGAACAACGTTTGAGCCGATTTAGCCATGCTGATGCTTTAGCCGTGCTAATATGTGGGGCATACTGTTGTATGCACGTTTCAATATCCCTGTGAAATTACATGTTTTGTTGATTTCCTAACTTTTGTACAGACCACATTTGATTTTATTCAATATGTTAAATTAAGCAATTAATTGTGCATTAAAATGTGGAGAAGTGCGTTCTCTGTACAGGATGTGCTAACTTATTGCTAACTTGCTAACTGTGCTAACTTATTGGCGCCCAGACTTTTACACACAACAGAAAGCTTACATTACTTTTTAACTCCAAAAAAGTAAACTTTGGACATTACCAAATACATATGGGGTAAGATGATAATTGTGTACATTACTGCTTATGTAAAACATTGCTCTTTGTTATTTTGCAATTTTGCAAACTATCTCTAGGGAGTTTATTGCTTTCGCTGAAAAGAAGGTCAAAGGAGCTCATCTGACCATGCTGGATAAGAAGAGACTTACCCTGTGCAAACAGCAGCTGGTGAGGGGAAGGCAGTGCCACATATCAGCCTAAGCCTTTACGTTTCTCTTTGAGAAATGCAGTTGTTTGGGTCCCTGGTCGTGATGCTTTGTCAGGTCTTCTATGTTTCTTTATTGCTCTCCTTTCTTCAGGAAAGTATGATAGAGGTGGCAGAAAGCATCACTGAGCCCAAAAGAAAAGCCCTGACCATCAAAGAGATGCTGACAGAGTCACGGAAGCTCACTCAAAGAATCAGGTTCCTGGTGGAAGAGGTCATTACACAGCTTTTTATGAGCACTTTTGTGCACAGCTTTGTCTTTATGTGTGTGTGCATGAACATACAGTACAGTATTACAGTACAGTACATATCTGAGTGTCTTTACCACTCTTAAAAATATCATCCTCTGTTTTTCATTCTGGTCTCAGCCCCAGCATACACTGCCAGATGTATTTGTGTGGATGCTTAGTAATAATAAACGTGTGGCATATTCCCGCCTCCCTGCTCGCCACCTGCTGTACTCTGACGATCCTGTGGAGAGAGGTAAAGACTGTGGCAAGATCAGCACCCTGTTCCTTAAGGTACCAGTCATTTGAATCATTATATATACACTCTACTAAAAGTTTGGTGACACCCAGCTTGAAGATGTTTTCACCACAGTTAAGCCTGTTTTCTGTATCAGTTTGAAAGTACATTATTTAAGCAAAAACTTGCTCTTCATATGAAAGAAGACACATGAACATGAAGCTGAGTGCTGTAAAATATACCCAAAGTATTAGTGAACAGCTATTTTATGTTATGACTAAAATCAACTTTGTTATTTTTACTAAACAGTGAAAATCAAGCACTGTAAGAAGGCAAGGTGTCCTCAGACTTTTGACAGTGTTTGTAAACTGCTGCCATTCCTTTCCTTAGTTAGTGTACAGCAGACAGATCTTTTAGGATGTTTTGTTCTCTTTTCCAGCATTTCCAAACTTTAACAATATTTTTTTTCTTTCTTAGCCCCCTGGGAAGCATGGAGCAACCTGGGCAGTGCAGGCTAAAGTGGATGTATATCTCTGGCTAGGCAACTGTAGAGACACCTCCCATATGCTGAAGAATCTCCCAGCAGGCTTTGAACTGCAGGGGGTATCATTAGAAGAGAGCAGCAGCACTCCTCCTGAGAGCTTGCTGTACAAAGGTACCATCCTGCTGGTATAAAGAGTCGCAAGTAGTTTTGGTTTTCATGAAATTAAGTGGACTCGAGGCAGTTTTGGTAATTGGAGCCCTCTGGTGGTTGTAAGATGCTAATGCAGATCATAATTAATCTCTCTTCTTTTCTCCAGAACGACATGAGTTTCAGCTGAGGGCTCACATGTACCAGGCACGGGGGCTTATTGCAGCAGACAACTCAGGCCTCTCAGACCCCTTTGCAAGGGTGTCATTCCTGTCCAACACCCAGCGTACTGCAGTAAGCATCTGCATTCTGATGGGAGTCTCACTGACAGATATGTATAGTTGAACATGTACATAGTGTTGGAGTTTTGAAGTTTTAGTGTATCTACAAAGTAATTCTGTAACAGAAATTTCTTAATTTTGTCCTTTCACTTCAAAATATGTTAAACACTGAGCAGTGAGAGATGCTCACACAGAGTGGAGGTTGTATTTAAATGACTGAGGATCATAAGTGCATCCAACTTCTTTTCCTTTAGATCATTAACCAGACTCTTACACCAACCTGGAACCAAATGCTGATAATGGACAGACTGCCTCTGCATGGCATGCTCAGTGAACTGCTGCAAGAACCACCTCTCATTACTATTGAAGTCTACGATGATGATGCTCTGGTAAAAAAAACACTGTTCGTTTCCAAATGACAGCTTTTTAAGAAGGTTTTAAAATTTACTGGATAAGGAGGTAATGGATTATTGAGTAGGATAAGGTGCGGATGAATACACCCTTTGTTCTGTCCAATTTAAGTAAGGACAACTGAAGGACCTGTATCATTTAAAATGTAATTTTCCTTGCTTTTCCTTGTAGTATATAAACATTGTTAAAGTTTCAAAACATCTCATTCACTTCCCATTCACTCAAAGCTAGTTTTGAAATCACTGTCTTTATGATGTCACAAAAAAACAACACGTTTACTTATAGATCTGCCTATATAGTCTGCAGCAGTAAAAATAGTTAAATTAAAAATTATATTTCAAATTAATGTTTAAAGTTTTAAGTATTATGTACAATATTATTTTTAATTTGACTATGACTTATATCCATTGCTCTTCTAAGCAGTGCTGGAAAAATGAATAGTGCAGCAATGTATTGCACGGGCGATGAAATTTGATGATTGTAAATATTGAAAGTACTTCCATTCTTCCATTTTTACTTCCATACATGCATCACTTTTAAATGTTGAGTTGTTTATATTGAAAATCTTTTAATAGCAATGCTCTAATTCACAGGGTAAGCCAGAGTATCTGGGCTCCACTGTAGCCATCCCAGAGGTCAAGCTCGCTGAGGAGTCATACACACCTCCTCTTTTGCAGTACAGTCCCCTCTTCTGCGGCAGCTTGTCAGGTGGGGACATACTTGGAGCTTTTGAGCTCATTGAGGTAAGGACTAGAACATACAAGTGTTCTACTGTACTTTGTCAGCTGTCAAATCATTGGATACAAAAATGCACTCACTATTTTACCACATGTATGATGAGATTGTTTCATATGAGTATACTTATACACAAGGTGCAAAACACAGGGTGTCATGGGGGGTTCCAGAATCCCCTAAGTAGGTCATTGTTTAGTCTGTTGCACCTACCAATCGGCGAGCTTCTGTCTTTTAAGTAACTAGAGATGCAGCACTGGTCTGCCTCAGGGTGGTGCTGTAGCAAATTGGTTTACCCAGTTGGTCCTCCATAGCCTAGCAACTGTAACTATGCCAGGATTCCTCTGGCAAATTTGTTGTAGCAAATTTGTAAATCTAAAAAAATGCCCAATTTTGCAAGAGATTGGTGGAAAGAGTGAAGAGGGGGATGTTTATTACTGTGTTGCATCACTTTTAGCAAAAAGTGTTTGGGTACCGAGAAGACCAATTGCTGTAGTATTGAAAGTGAAATGTTTTCCCATTCTTGCTTCATACAGGAATTTAGCTGCTCAGTTTGTGGTCTGCTTTGTCATATTTCTTGTTTCATAATGTACCAAATGTTTTCAAAGGAATGTTGGGTGACAAGTCTGGACTACAGGCAGGCCAGTTTAGAACCCAGACTCTTTTACTATGGAGCCATACTGTTGTAATACATGCAGAAAGTGGTTTGGCATTGTCTTGCTGAAAAAAGCAAAGCATTACCTGCAAAAGACGACATCTTGCTCCAAAACCTGTATTTATTGTTCAGCTGTAATGGTGCCTTCACAGATGTGCAAGTCACCCTTGCCATGTGCACTAATGCACCCCATACCATCACAGATGCTGACTTTTGAACTATGTAGTGATAAAAAGCTGGGTGGTCCCTCTCCTCTTTAGCCAAGAGGATGCAGCGTCCGTGATTTCCTAAAAAGGATTTCAAATTTTTGAAATATTAGCTCGGGCTCAGAGAAGGTGGAGGCATTTCTAGATCCTGCTCATATATTGTTTCTTCTTTGCAATGATAGAGTTTTAACTTGCATTAATGGATGCAGCGATAAACTGTGTTCACACACAGCGGTTTTACCAGAAGTGTTCCTGAGCCCATGCAATGATTTCCACTACAGAATCATGTCTGTTTTTAATGCAGTGCTGCCTGAGGGCCCAAGTATCATGGCCATCCAATACTGGTTTTTAGCCAGTGGTGAACCAGTCCCCATCTTTACTTCTGAGAGACTCAGCCTCTCTGGGATGCTCTTTTTATATGTTCATACATAAGTCTTGTTACTGACCTGTTGCCAATTAGCCTAATTAGTTGTTCCACCAGGTGTTTTTAGCATTACACAAGTTTACCAGTCTTTGTTGGCCTTATCCCAACTTTTTTTGAAATGTGTTGTAAAATAAAAGAATGTTTTTTCCTTTACCAGAAAAGTTACCACTGCATATTTCTGTGCATTTGTTTGCACCTTGTTATATTTTGTTGTTACTGAATCCTTAATACACCCCTAGGTTTCAAAGAAAAGAAAACACCTTCTACCTCCATTAGATCAGCCAGAAGGCCAGATCTACCCTGTGCCTTCATACATCCGACCCGTGCTCTGCAAGTACAGAATTGAGGTGAGTTTAAAATTAACGTGCAGGTTTACGTAAGAGCAGTCATAAAAATGAAGATTACTAAATAATAACATTCCATAATGTGTAACTGTGTGTGGGATTTAGGTTCTGTTCTGGGGTCTAAGAGAGCTGAAGAAGGTACAGCTTCTGTCTGTGGATCGGCCTCAAGTCTTCATAGAGTGTGCAGGAAAAGGAGTCAACTCCTCCGTGATACAGAGCTACAAGAGCCACCCAAACTTCAGCATGCTTGTGGACTCTTTTGAAGTGGTAATGCTGACACTCTAAAAATGTTCTCATTTCCTTCTGTTCTCAACATGTTTTGTGCCTTCAGCATTATGGTGACCTTCCTTTGTGCAGGAGCTGCCTGAAGACGAATACCTCCACCCTCCACTCTCTATCACTGTGGTGGACTGGAGAGCGTTTGGCAGGAGCACTCTAGTGGGCAGCCACGTTATTAATAATCTGGGCCTGTTCAAATACACCCCTCCATCCCTACCACCTCCCAGACCACAGCAACAGGAGCCAGCCATCATAGAGCGTAATGGGGTTTAATTTTAGCCATGCAATCTCATTGAATCATAACATGTACTGCCTATTAAAGGTTTGGGGACACCAAGCTTTTCAAATTACAAATGAACATGTTTTCTTAACATAGTAAAGACTAACCAGATTCATTTGGAGTAAAACATCACAGGTGTAAATACAGTAGGGTGCAAAAGTCAGAGACCCTTCCTTTATTTAATTTCCAGTCAAAACAGCCAAGTACAAGTTACTAATTTTCCAGCAACAGGAAAAAAAATGGAAAACATAACGGAAAGAAAATTACACAGAAGCTTTAAAAATTTCATAAGAAGGCAAGGTGACCTTTAACCGGCAGTCTATACTTCCATATCATCATTTCTTATTATATCAGTTCAACTGACACTAAATGAACATTATTTCCTAGCTGCATCACTTCCTGGACCAGAAATCATTGAAGCACAATCAACTGAGGACATTTACATCAACATAGAGCAGGAGGAGACACCCAAACCTCCTCCTATGACTGAGCCATTGCCTCCAGACAAGAAGGTGAGTTAACCCCTTAAATAACATTCTGTTAATAGTAATTTTTATAGGCTATGTCATCAGACCTGCATATGTAGAAGTATTCTTATCTGAATATGTACTTATTCACACTTCTCTTTAGCTCCTCCATGGCTCTTTATTATTTATTATCCTATTCGATTTATAGCATTTTTATTTTAATTTTCCTTTAGTTAAATACAGTATGTTTGCTTGACTGGTCTGTTCAGTATGTTACATGTTATATGTGTGTGTGCTCACCTAGACAAAGTTCATGTATGTGTTACATACTTGGAGAAATAAAGTGATTCTGATTCTAAATGGCCAGGGTCCACTGGCGGGCCAGTTTCATTACACACTTCTATAACCTAAGAATAGCTCAGTCAGTTTGCATTGAAGTTCCTGTAGTTACTGAAAAATAAGCCTTAGTATGTAATAAGACTGGGATTTTAAAGGGTTAACAGAAGCAACACACAAACATACAGGCTCAATGCTTCATGTATTCAGGGCTCCTGTTTACGTGTAGCTTTGACTTTTCCATACAGGACAGAGAGTCTAAAAAGAGCAAGCGAAGGTCTACAAAAAGGAAGAAACGCACTGCTGCTGATGAGTCTGCTGACTGTGTCATTGACTGGTGGTCTAAGTACTACGCTTCAGTGGAGAAGATCCAAATGGTCAGAATAAGCCCTTCTCACCAGTACAATCATAAATTTGTTGTATTTATTACTTGCTGGTCTCACATGTGACATTTTCATCTACAGTCAAAACAAAGGGAGGCCAATCCATTTCCAAACCTCTATGAAGCTGGTAAGATATTTGAACTCACCACTCAGTTACTTTAACCATTAACTCAGCTGGAATGTGTCAAAGTTTTATTCACAGTCAAACATGCCTGTGTTGTGATGTATTACAGTACCTCCTCTTCAGAGCTTGCTCTCGGAAGGATTAACCAATATGGGTAAGAATAGTTGAGAATATCCAGTCTGTTACATGCTCTCATTCCAGTTTTAGTGTGGTGGCCGAAAGAACTGGGGAAGACAGTAGTATTTTCCCCAAAAAGGTTATTTTGAGATTTCTTCCATATATAAAACAATGAATGTCAATGACATTTTATCTGTTGTTTTCAGTGATAAGGATTCAGCACATTTAGATGGGTGTACGCTCCTTATCTACTTCAGAAACACCTAACTTGAACTTCTACTCACCAGCCACCATATAACTTCTAACTGCCTTATTGCAGGCACGTTCACAGATACAGTTACAAGAGGTGTATTACGTCAACTTATGATTAGTACAGTGTACAAGGGTATTAATTGTTAAAGGGCTCTTTGAGTGATTTAGGGCATGTAAATACATTTCAAAGTTACAAGCAAGGACAGAGTTCTATGAAGGGATAGTCAATGTGGAACTGTCACAAATGCACGCATCGCCACAGCGCTTTAAAGAATGTTTTTTAGGAAAGCGTCACATTCCGTAGTGCATTCAATTGGGCAGAAGTACTTCTGTTTTAGGCTGCCTCTGGAAAACTCATTTATGCTTTGTTTCCTCTGAAACATGATGGATTGTCTCTCTGGATGCGAGTGTCTGCAATATGCTGCAAATAATAAAGTGTAATTCATGGCAGGTTGCCCCCTCAGTATCACTGCTGATTGTGTAATCCCCCACCCAAAAATATCCAGTCAAGAGAAACAATGTGGTCAGAGAGTAACCACTGATGAAAGGCTAGAGGTTAACACATATTGTACATGGCAGTCTGTTGTCTCAAACTGTGTAGGTGTTTCTAATTAAGTGGCTGTGTTCTTCACCTGATAAAAGAATTGTTTTGGGAAATTTCACCACAACACTGTAACATGAATATTACTTACATGTAATGTCATTTTTTACTTTTAAGCTACAGGAATGAAAGAGAAGAAAAAGCAGATGAGCTTCAGGAGTGTGGGTGAACAGCCCAAATTAGCAACCTTAAAGGTAATATTCAAAGTACTGATGCTGCTGTTACATAATCATCTAGAGCCTGTTCATAGCACTATAGTGTAGTTTTAGAATCACTTGATTTAAAATGACCCACACTCTTACTTCCACTCACAGGTATATGACAAAGAGCTTGAGGCTGAGTTTGGCCCTTTTGATGACTGGGTGAAAACCTTTGAGCTGTATCGTGGCAAAGCAAATGAGGAAGATGGCTCTAGTGTTGAGAGGTTTGTTGGAAATTTCAAGGTGAGTTGCACACTTGTTATTACACATGAGAAAAATCCTCTGTTTAGATGAAAAACAAATATATATTTCTGTTTAAATGTCTTTCCACAGGGCAGATTCTGTCTGTATAAGCTGCCTGAAGGTGGTGAGGGTAAGGGTTTGGATACCTGGGAGTATAAGATAAATCAGGGGATTCCAGCCAACGCTCCTGTGAATGTACTTATTCGAGTGTACATTGTTTCAGTAAGTTTCCAACTAACTCATTCAGAAACGTATCCAACATTAGGTGCCTGTAATATATTTTTTAAATGTTTTGAATCCAACCTTGACATAAGGCATAACAGATGATTTTTATAGGACAGTCTTCATACAGAACAGTCTACATACACAATATAACGTATATGAAGTACAATATAATGTTAAAGAAATGAAATATCGTTGCAGAGAGTGCAATTTTATATGTCTTGGCTTCCATAAATAGATTTTTTAGTTATGGAGTTGAGCAGTTTCCTCATTATTCTTGGTAAAATTATTGAAGCCGTACTGACTTTAGTCTGTAGGAATTAATTTTACTATGACATTCTTTACTGGTACCACATAGTAGAAGATGCAGTATATTTTCCTCCAAATAATCACAGATTGAACTGTGGATTGTGTGACATGCTGCTTTAATTGTGAAATATTAGGCATCCAACCTCCATCCAGCCGATCCTGATGGTAAGGCGGATCCTTACATTGTACTGAAACTTGGTAAAACTGTCATCAAGGACAGAGACAACTACATCCCAAAACAACTCAACCCAGTGTTTGGGAGGTAAGGATTTGGCCACTTAATCAAGAAGCGAGAACGTTAAGCGAATGCTGTTCTTCTGTGATAAAATGCTGTGATTTACAAAGACCTGTGGAGTGAAATATTTCTGTCTGTCAGATCCTTTGAAATTCAGGCCTCCTTCCCCAAGGAATCTTTACTGAGGATTCTCATCTATGACTACGATGTTGTTGGTGGTGATGATTTGATTGGTGAGACACACATAGATTTGGAGAACCGCTTTTTCAGCAGACACCGTGCTACTTGTGGGATCCCTGCTGAATATGCCATGTGAGAATACAACTAATTATTATATAACTCTTTGATAGAGCTTTGATTTCTTGTTTACTTTTTTTTTCTTACCAACTATGACAACTTGTATTGTTGTGCTTATTTTTTTCTATCACTGCTAGCGATGGATACAATGCATGGAGAGACTGTATTAAGCCAACTGACCTGCTGATTAAGCTCTGCAAGGAAAACAGACTTGGTAGCCCCCGTTTCACTCCCGGAAGAATCAGCATTGGAGAAAAAGTCTACACTGGCAAAACCGTCTTTGTTGATGAGGGTAACAGTAATTCCATTGAAGAAAAGGATTCCTGAAGATGAATATTCTCACAGTGTGACCTGCAAGTGTTGTGCTGAGAGAATGCTTTCATGTTTCAGATCAGATAGTGGAGTCTTATGAACATCTGGCTCTGAAAGTACTGCGCAGGTGGGAAGAAATGCCAGATGTGGGCTGCCAACTGGTGCCAGAACACATTGAGACCCGGACTCTTTACCTAAAGGACAAGCCTGGCATGGACCAGGTAATTCTTATCTGTATTAAGCTGATTCATAGCTCACCTATTAATTTAGTGTAGTATGGGCGTTGATGGAGTATGTGAACGCTTTAGAAACTAATGGATTCTCCTTTATTGGCAACAGCGTTTTTCAAACGTTGTGTGTGTGTTGTTTATTATTATGATTTGAAATTACGATGACTCCAAACTTTATCTTTACAGCTGGTCAGTAATCATTTTACAGGCCAGAAGCTAGTGAATATTTCAGAGATAAAGAGTATTTTTTCCCATTTCTGTTTGTTCTCTAGGGCCAGGTGCAGATGTGGGTAGACATGTTTCCTATGGACATGCCTCATCCTGGACCTCCGGTGGATATTTCTCCCCGCAAACCCAAAGGGTAATACTGGTTATTTACTAACAAACTGGCCACATCTTAAATAATATCTATATTGTGCAGTCTGGAGTACTTTTTATTTACCCAGGTATGAGCTGAGGATCATTATCTGGAACACAGAAGACGTCATTTTGGAAGACACCAATTTCATAACAGGGCAACAGTCAAGTGACATCTATGTCAAAGGGTAACTGTGTGCTGTATGTTTGTCTAGTTTAAAAGACTGTAAATAGTTCCCCTGTCTGTGTTCTGTCACTCTTGAGGTAATAAACACATAAAAGGATATGGTACCTGAAAGAACACGGTAAGTTCCTTCTCTGTTGCCTCAGATGGCTGAAGGGTCTTGAAGATGATGCCCAGGAAACAGACGTTCACTACAACTCTCTGACTGGTGAGGGCAACTTCAACTGGCGCTTTGTGTTCCCCTTCCACTACCTCCCTGCTGAGAAGCTGGTGGTGGTCAACAAGCGGGAGAACATCTTCTCCCTGGACAAGACGGAGCAGAAGCTGCCTGCAGTCTTAGTTATGCAGGTGTGGGACTTTGAGAGACTGTCTTCTGATGACTTCCTGGGTAAGACATATAAATTATGCTAATATTTAACAGGGGAGTCTTCATTTTAGGATTACGTATAAAGTACTGTGCAGAAGTCAGAGACCACCTTTTTATTTATTTAAGTTCAAGTAAGAACAGCCATTAGGGTACAAGTTATTCATTGTGCAGTGTCAGGGAAAAAGCAACAACTTATTATATTTAGAAAGTTAATTATAACAATTTTTCCATAATTATTGTGTCCACTCTTTGCCTTCATTATACAACCTTGTTTCCAAAAAAGTTGTGATGTACAAAATGTAAATACAAACAGAATGCAGTGATGTGCAAATCATTTAAACCCTATATTTAATTGAGAATCATACAAAGACAACACATCAAATGTCAAATGTTTTCTTCATTGTTTTTTGAAAAATATAAGACCATTTTGAATTTGATGCCAGCAACACCTGTCAAAAAAGTTGAGACTGGGACATGTTTGCCCCTGTCCCACTGTGTTGCTCTGTGTTGCATCACCTCCTTTTAACAACCCTCTGAAAGCGTTTGGGAGCTGAGAAGACCAATTATCAAATGTTTTCCCATCCTTGCATGGTATAGGATTTACATTTTGCATAGCGTCCCAACGTTTTTGAAACAGGGTTGTAGCTTTCAGACTTGCTTTCGGTTTTTCAAAGAAATCTGCAGGGATATTTCTTCCACATCTTTAAAGTTCAGTCTTAGAAGTTGGTTACATTTTCTGCTTCTCATAATCCAAGTATTTCCCATGATGTTGAAGTCTGGACTCTGGGGTAGCCAAACCATTCTTCTGAAAAAAATAAAAATAAAAAGTCAGTATCCTTTTCTCCGTAACGGCTTCTTCAGTTTAGAGTTGTGTATATGTCCGTAAATTTTCGTTTTTTCAGTTTAGAGGTCATGTCTGAATTTCGTTTTTTCCAGGCACAGTAGAGTTGGACCTGCATGGGTTTCCACGTGGTGCTAAAACAGCAAAAGACTGTAAGATGGAGATGCTGAAAGACAGCAATGAGAACATCTCCATCTTCCAACAGAAACGCGCAAAAGGCTGGTGGCCTTTCGTGAAAGCCGAGGAGCTCACGGTATGTAACTCCTTGGTATATTCTGAGAGGGACTTCTCTAAATTTGTCTTGTGTGAAAGTTACAGGTTAAGGAATTTAATGAATGAAAATCATTATTACCACCACTACACATTACTGAATTATTTATTCCAATGGATCTAGGGGAAAGTAGAGGCTGAGTTCCACTTGGTAACAGCTGAAGAAGCAGAGAAGAACCCAGTAGGTCGAGCACGCAAGGAGCCAGAACCTCTAGAAAAACCCAAGTAAGACTAATGCTGTAGTTATATTTGATACATTACTACTTACATCATTAGCTTAAAGGGTGGAGTAATGTCTGTAGTAGTATTGCTGAATGTTTTTCCAGGCTTTCGTTGCTTGTAACTGAATGGTTTTAGTAGTCTACTATTTAAAAAAAAAACAGTTCAGTTTTTAAGTCAATAACATTTTGTTCTCTTCTAGTCGGCCTGATACCACATTCTCCTGGTTTGTGAATCCTTTTAAGTGTTTCTTCCATCTGATCTGGAAGAACTATAAGAAGTACATCATAATTGCCCTGGTGCTGCTGATTGTGGCACTATTTCTTGCCTTGCTCTTCTACACACTTCCAGGGGCTATCAGCAATAAGATTGTCAGCGGATGATCAATCATTTTAGATAAGAGGAGTTGGGCTACCAACAGAATTGATGTCAGATACATGCACTGTAAGGGACTAGTCTTTATATTAACAGTCTCTCTTATTTTGGAAAGCAACATATTAATAAACCACTGAAATGGAGGCCTGTAAATACATGAATCTAAAGATGCTGTGAGATTTTTATTAGAGTCTAATAGTGCATGATTGGTAAGTAGTACTGTGATTAATAATAGTGTATAATCCTACATGTTAACAACATTGTATTGTATTTTTCCACATTGTATTGATTTCTATATGCATGCATCAGTGTTTCCATTTGACATATTAACTGGAATATCTGGGAACTTTTTTTATTAATCATTTTCCTGTGTACCAGTTCAGTGAAAGATATTCAAGAAGCACAGCAAATGACATTTGTTATAAAGAATGAGACATTTATAGTGTTTTCAGTAAAAAGTTCTGAAGGAAACTTAGAAATGATCTCGTAACACACTAATCTACATTTCTTTTCTGACAATGTTGCCTGATGTCTACTACTGTTATTAAATACACAGTCAATAACAAAAACAGTCAATGAGTATTAACAGATCCAGTCCCTGTCATTTTCTGATTTTATTGCTATGGTTGTATTAGCAGCTTGAGGGCCACAGATGTTTCCTCTGCTGCCGCTGTGCTGTGTGCCACCGCATCTCAAACTTTTAGTAATGCTTTACTGGCAAACACGGCAGCGCGTTTGGAGGAGGATGCTAAACTCGCAACAAAGACAGTATGGAGCCCATTTACGCTTAGCCACTTCATAGGTCTGTTCACACCTCGCACTTGCAACATGCACTTGCATCAACATTCAAAAACAATGCACGTGGTGATGGGCTTCTTATTAGGAGAAAATAAATCAGATCAAAAATCTGGTCAACCTGGGGATGCATTTTAATAAAAAGTCTAAATGCAATCCGGCCAAAGTGTATCCAGATACGATCCGGACACTAAACACATGTTAATGCAAGTAATAAGTGTAAGGAGGCTCTATGTGTCTTGGGCTGATCAGACAGCTATCTATAAAAGTCAAGTGTAAACGCTACTAAGACACTTTGGAGACAGATTGCTATCTGGTCATACTGTACATGGAGGTCTTTTGTTACTGAAATTAGACATGATTGAAAAAAATGAAAGCTGCAAACGGCCTCGTGCGATCTCAAATGATTCCAGAAGACAATTTCTTGGATTTGCATGTAATGTGGGAAGAGCAGCACTCATGCAAATTAGATCTGTATATATCTAACACAACCATATTTATGTGCCAAGTGTAAAAGGAATGTGGAAACATTTTATCTGGATAGTCTCTGGACAGGTGATGAAATAAGAAATGTAAATAGCCTCATGGTCACTCTGTGAAGTACAGTAATCATAAACATCAAACCTCCCATCACCCCAGTGGTATGATGGTTAAATGTGTTCTCTAAAAAATGGGTGCCCCCTTAGAAGACAATATTAAGTTCTAACCACCATCTTGGGAAGAGTCCCTCTTGTGAAAAGTCCTTCTTTTCGTACACTGCAAACTCTGTGTAATAAATTAATATTGTCATTCTGTATCACAGTCCCCAAACCAAACCTGAGCTCCTTAAACTTCCTGATCATAATAGTCCTATCACTGAAACATCTCGGAGCCAGCTGCGGGAGTTCTATGCTGTTGGAACATAGCAGATCCAGGCTGCATCTGACCCTCGGCCACACTGAGTCTCTGTGCTGCCAGTAAAGGACTGGTTCCTATCTGCAGTGGTAGAGTGTATGCTCCAGTCTCAGATGTGCCAGGTCTGCCCAGGGCAAAGCCCCCCTGCTGTGCAGTCGCCCCTCCTCGCCTCCGACTGCCACGCTGAGTGAACAGCCCCTGTGCTGGTGCTCCATTTAACTGTGCCGCCTGCGACATCAGACAGGCCTGTAGCTTGCGCTTGGCTCGCCAGCGGGCCACTCGAAGGCGCGTCTTCTCCCTGCGCTCCTTTACCAGGTCGGCCAGCAGTGCCTGAGGCAGCGTCTGCTCCAGCTCTCGCCGCCGCGTCTCGCTGCGTTTACGCACTTCGATCCTTTTGCGCTTATATTCCTCATACAGGTTCAGGTCCTTACACCATGGACGGACCTGCCTCTGGCCACTTGCCATGGCCAGCTGAGACTCAGCATCTGAAAACACATTGATATAGAAGAGGAAAATGTGGATGAGGAGATCTTCCAAAAGACAGCTTCAAGAAGACATAGGCTTCTTTAGAGATGGTGGGGAGAAGTAATACAACACAGCACCAGATTGCATTCTCATTCATAAATGAGGCTCCTTGGTGTTTTGCCATTTGTTGTATGTGGCACAACAACCCTTTCCCTCATTTGCATGTCATTAGTTATTCGTAACAGAGCACCTTGTATGGTCATTCACTTTTTTTTTGACCTGCCACTGCTCAACAATGGACAGTTCTTGTTATGTTAGATACCGTGTTATGCACCGCACTTGTTTACTAAACATTTTTCATTTTTTTTATTTTTGCTGTACTTTTACCAAACAGCAATTCTTTTTTTTTTTTAGAATCCATAACTCTGATTCGAAGATTTTCTTTTGTTCTTTGACATAGCATGTCCATTTTGACACCCAGACAGGCCTTTACTTGAGAAGGAAAAAAAAATGCTAATTTTTAAATCTAGCGAACAAGTGGCTTTTTCAAATCATGTAAAAAAAATAAATAAATAAAACAACAAAAATGGAGAGAAACGGTTTTGTTCCAACAGCAATGATATTAAGGTCCAACTTTTATGGCCTGAATGTGTCTCAAGTTTGAATTAGGGAAATTTAACATAACACAAAATCAATGGGGGGAAAAACGGCCTGGAACTTAGCGGTACTGAGACAAACAAGTTATTTTTAAGTATATTTATGGCAGTGTGTTTTCAATGTTGTTTGATATCCTTTAGTCTTTGTGCAACACTTTTTGCAGAGTGCATAGTTACCAGTGGGTTTTAGAAATCTTGTCGATCATGTGCCGTTAACCCTGCACTGCATGTCCAATGTGCTGTGTACATAAATAAACCGACAAGTTTTGTATAAAAAGTAACGAATACATAATTATCACACAGACATCTGGTCAGTGTATAATAGATTTAATTAGCACAAAATTCCAATTTGTTTTGCTTATGAAAGTCACACAAGAGAGTATGGAATATTGTGCATTCTGGATATTAATATGAATTAATATACAGATCAAGTTGATTTAAAACATTTATTTACCCAACATACATATAATTAGCTAAAATATTTGATTGTTAACTACTTTACAATATTTACAAAACAGTACTTTAAAATCTCAGTCCACCAAAACAGCAAACTGATTATACAATGCATTTATAAATAAAACATATGCCTTAAAAGCCAAGTCAATCACAAGTGTTGGAGTTTTTCTCTTATCCGCTGACGTCGCTTGGCTGCCGCCCATCTCTGCTGCAGTTTTATCCTCTTTTCCAAGGGGAGAAATTTACTGGATTGTATATCACCTCGTGCTTTTCTTTCCCGGTACCTGGAGGTGAGAGCAGGTTACATTGTTAAGGTGCTATAAATGAACTGTTTAAATCAAATGCCTAATTTAGAATGCTTCACTCATAAACAAGAAGAAATGGTTAACCGTTGTCGTCTCTCCTCCAGCTTGGCCTCCCTTTTGACAGGATCTGCATTTAGTCTCTCTCTGTATCTCCTGGTCTTCTCTGCACTGGTCAGTGCTTTGTCTAGAAACAACCATGTAAGACTACTGTATTTACTCGTTCAGGGCAATTTCAACTGTTAATATGAAATTTTTCTGTGTAGCCTATGTCCTTAAAGAAATATTGGATATGCAGATTAAGTGCTGAATTATAAAACAGTCACAGAGTATCTTGAAAAAAAAGGATTCAGAATATTGTGATATGTCCTTGTACTGTGTTGCATCACAGAACACAGCCTTATCACTACGCTCTGAATCATTTTCTTCTGAGATGCAGTGACTGTCTTCATAATTCAGCCCACTTTTGCATATTCTGATTACTGTTCATATTTATGTTAAAAACACAACATCAGAGTTTCTTATTCAAATCTTATTCAGGTCAATGAGGCACTGAGAAAGTAGAATTGAATGGAAAAAGAGAACTACTCACCATTTCTTCTCATCCAAAGCTCCTTAAACTTCCTGGTTACATGGAGACCTCAAACCAGCAAGAGTCTTCGTGTCAGTGCCCGTTTATAAACGTTTCACATCACATCATAGGACACTTTATGAAAGCAAGCTGCAATGACCTAAGGAGTGACCCCCTGCTTTAACTGTACATTCAGGACTGCATTAAGCTAAATCCTGCACTTTATTTGGAGAAAAACAGGTTAAATCCAATCCAAAAGCTGAAATCCGATCAAATTGTATTTGAAAAAGCGGTCTCTGATATTTTTAAATGGGCTATTAACTTATTTTGTTAATCTGTTTTTGCTGTTAGCCATGGGGTCCTGAAAAAATGTATTACTCACTGTCAAATAAATGATAAATGCACGTCATTTTGATTCAGAGATGCTTTCCATTTTCTTTTCTTCTGTTGAATTCGAGTTGAGTGGAACTATGTAAGAAGAATTTAATGCCAAGTGTTCCAATGTACCAATCAGAATTAGGGTGGATTTTCAGTCCCCCTACCCCTTTCTACACACCAGCCCCACACAAACCAGTGGCTCTTTAACCTCGGATACCACAGGTGAACACTTTACTTAATTCCATCACTGCATTACCCTTCTTGTGTGCTTTAATGATCTGCTGCCTACGATAACAACCTGTTCACAGCACAATAACAAAAAATGTGCTCAAGATGGTTCTTCCATTGCTATGATGTCAAGCTTGTGACTATGTGCTATATAGAACCATCTTCAGCACATTCTCCATCAATCTTAAGAAACCTTTCACGATGTAAAAAATCTTTTAATCATGCAAAACCATTTTCTTTACTAAAGAACCCTTGAAAAGACATAAAGTGTGTAGTCTTTGTACCAGATGCTTTGAGTTGTACAAAAACATCTGATGACAGAAAATGTTAATTTGGGATTAATTTGGTATTAACAGTAATGCATTAAAGTTATTACTAACAATAATAATCATAATTACATCTGGAATTAAGTAGTGTATAACTGCATTGCTTGTCTGTTAAACTACTAAAGCTTGCTAAGTTTCTCAGATATAAAATGGATTAAGGGGATGGATCTGAAGCTGTCCTTTCACAGGTATGCCAGATTCACTGGATTTATTCATTTGTTCTCCTTTGTGGCTGTGATTTGCTAGGAAAAACTAAACATCCCTCAACAATGAGGGCTACATGCTATCAAGCTAACCCTAACCATGCTGCCATGGGGTTGTTTATGTTACAATGTCAATCACCATTCCATCTGGAACAACCAAACAGTCCTGATCAGGTTGTACAGCTTGTTTAGCTCTAACTCTACTTGAACAATGAAATATGGTTGAGGATATAAATATAATATAAATATCAATATGGAAATATAATGTATAAATATAAAAATACCTCTGGTTAACGATCATAAGTTGGGAAACACTGCGCTCAGAAATGAAAGATATCATTGTTATATTTTGTATATTTGCAGTCTTGCTGGCAAGTCTTTGATTTGTTTATTTTAACTTGAAAAATACATTTATTTACCAAAAAAATGGAAGTGAGTTTAATTAATGTTAAACTGGGCTTCATGATTGTGATAATTCTGACTGACAGATCTATGTATAGCCATAAAACAGGTTTGTGCATCTGTACACAGCACAACGTTGGTAGCTTGCATCATAATTATAAAAGCCGAACTCATAATTTTGATCGCTATGCAACTGCACAGCCCAAATGTTTATGTTTACTTCTTTTCTACTGTGTCAATGTAAGCAAACAGGTTCATGATGACCAGATATTCTTGATGATCGCTTTACCTAGTCTTATACTCTAGTCTATCTGCTGAGTTTTGTGTTTTCCTGCTCTGCTGTAGAAGGACTAGAATTGGAAACACTGTTCTTGACTTTCTAACAAGGAATCTTTTTGTGTTAGTTGAAGTCAACACTTACTTCCTCTATAGCTTGTGGAGCAAACATATTTTTTAACCTCCAGTCATGCAAAGGCATAGAGCAACTGAACACATCTGGAGGAGAGTGTTAACTGAATAATTAGTTTTGGTGACCTAACAGATGCCCTTGGTTGGTTAGCATCACTCCCTATCAACAGGATAAAAGGAATTATGCTATATACAATATCGTAGCAGAAGTGCTAAGCAAATGCTAGCATATATCTTTACAAATATCTAGGTCATAAATTATGATTAGGAAATGAGAGAATACTCTGCTTCAACTCACATGTGCTTGGGTCCACACCCATGAAGCTTGGTTCAGTGATCGAAGGACATGAAATCTGGGGACACTGTTGGCTCAGTGGCAGGTCTAGGGAGATGCCTGGTCCTACTTCCGCTGCCTGCTGACAAAGCTCTGTCCTAGCACATTCTGAGTTGACGGCTTCCACTGGCTCCTCCTTCACCTGGACAATTTCAACCTCTCCTTCCTCCTGTTTGATCTTGAAAGGAGACTCTCCACAGGCTGCCGTGGCTGTGTTAAACACCTCGCTATTATCGGCAACAGGGGGGAGGTTGGGGTCCATTGTGTCTGTGTGCTCCACTTCTGAAGAAGCCTGTTGTGCTGGAGGCGTCTGACCCCATAAAGGATCACTGCTTTCTGCCACCAGACCGTCACTTTCTATCACAGCGGCACTTGAGTTCTCTGCTACAAAACAACACACACAAACAATATATTTAACTCTCACTTTAATCAATGCATAAATGTTACTATTACAGTTGTTCTTAATATCTGTCCATTTGCATCCATTCATACCTTTCACAGGTCCCATGTGCAGTTTCGGCCTATGCACGTCCTCGCTGTAAATGTCAGAATTTGTGTAGCTCTCGGCTGGGACAGGTTCCTGAATCACGTTTTGAGCTGTTGGTGCGGGTAACTGTTTCTCCCATGTGGGCTCTGCGATACGAGCTGGTTTCGGAACAGGATTCTGAACTTCAATACAGGGCGACACGTTACTGGCGGAGCACCTTCTCGGGGGCACCACGTCTCTCGCCTGGTGAACATTACGTGCTCTGCCTGGCTCGAACTGAACGAGCACGGGTCGGTGATTCTGTAGAGCCTGTCTGTCTTCTCTAGCCGTCAGTGCGTTCAAATATCTCCGCATGGTTTTCATCTGACACCGGGACATCTCCAGCATATTCCTGATGTTCTCGTTCTCTTTCTCTTTGGCCGTCATCTCCCTCCTAAACTCCTCGAATTTCAGACTGACGACCCGGATCATCTCGCCCAGCACCGTCTCCACCGCAGCGTTCACTGCCTTCTCAATAACAACACCCATTTGCCCTCTCATGAGAGAAATTGTTAAATTGACATCCATCGTGCGCCAGATAGTTACGATAAAGAGCCACTGACTGGCTAAACCCGACCCTTAACAAACAGCTAACAGCAGCTGCCTAGCGAAGGCTTTACTCTAGCTAGCTAGCAGCAAGGCTAACGGTCGCTAACGCTAACCCGCAGCGCTGACTACTACTTCTTAGCTCAACACGTTCAGTTTATCACTTACATTCGCTCACAACAACAAGCCATTCGGAAGAATGAGAGTCTAAGCGTCTATATAAGGCCGAATACCCGCGTGAAAACAAATGACCAAGCGCTTTGCTGTCCAGGTGCCACATCCCAAAAACCAAAACAACAAAGACCGAATAAAAACCTCTTTCCCGTTTTCTTCTTGCTCTTATGTGGCCGTTTGGTAGGTTTACCACCGCAAAGCATTTCACTGCCACCTACTGGATATCAGGGTCGGGATGGTTCGAGTAAACAAAGCAAGAAAGTGGCTTATCGCTTTTAAAACAACAACCTAAAATGTGATAACACACATTTTTAAAACAAACCAGAACAGTGTATTTCCTGAAGAAGATGCAAAGTGATCGCGCAGCTTAAGCTTATTGCGAGGTGGTTGCTAAGGTGATGCTAGGCGGTTGCTGTAGCATGAGGTGCGCGTACTCTGGTTGTTGGAACGAGGAATGAAAAAAGGACACATGGAAGAGTGAGGGGTCAGTACTGCTGTTGATTAGAGCTTGGGGACCTGCCGTGAGTGAGTACATGCAGTTTCAAGGCTTTCGGGCAAAAGAAATAGTGCTGGGGTTTGGGCAAAAATGAATGGGACTCTATGGGAGAAAAAGGGATGGAGAAACAACACAGAGAGGAGTGTGGGTCACTTTGGCTGTGGTTTAGAGCCTGCGGACCTGCTCTGAGTGAGTACATGTAGTTTGGTTGCTGTCATGCAGAAGAAATAATAGCGCTTGGGAGGGGGCTATGAATAGGAGTGTAAGCAAAGGATGAAAAAACGACACATGGAGGAGTGCAGGTCCCTATGGCTGTGGGTTAGTGCTTGAGGACCTGTCCTGAGCGAGTACATGCAGTTTGGTGGCTGTTGGGCAAATAATAGTTTGTGTGGGGGCAAAAATGAATGGGACTTTATGAGAGGAACGAAGGATGAGAAAAAATGACAAGGAGATGAGTGTGGGTCAGAACAATATTGAAATCGAGCTCGGGGCCTGCCCTGAGATAGTACATGTGAAATGGTGTCTTTCGGTTGAGCAGAAGTACAGTGGACCAGCGTGCCGCTTTTGCACCCCATTCATTCCTATTGGGAAAAAAAATTGTAAATTAACTAAGATTGTACGAAAACCATACGTTGGATCGAAAAGCTGTAAACAAGCACACCATTCCCGATCAGACCAAGCATTCAGGAGTTTGAACAGTGTTGATATCTCGAAAACTGCGGGACGAGTTAGCGGCCAAAAATGCAGCAGAAATAAGAAGGTGAAGAAAAAGAAGAATATTCTGTCGGATAATAATAGTGTTGCACATTGCTTTGCAATGCGCAATCATTAATAATTCAAGTTCTAATTAAAAATAAATTACAATAATAATTAGTAAACAGTATTTCCATTAAGAAATTTAGTATTGTATCATGTTCGAGAAATGCTTAACATGATAATTTTAGGTTATTGTTCTTCCACAGTTGTGTTTTTTCCACAAGGGCTCTTATTGTGAAGGCAAGTCTAGCCCAACAGCTGCGTGTTTATGTGTAGAACAGGAAGAACCGTCACTGTGTCAGAAATGGTCCCCTAGTCACTACACCCTACATTTGAAAATCTGGGTCACTATATAGAACACTGTTATAGGGAACAGAATTTGTGATGATAGTAAATGATTTCAGACACTATGTCATACATGTTTGCTCATTACTGTGCAGCAACAGATTCTGTTGTGTAAACCCTAAACATCATGCCATCAGTTTAATATATCTGCTGAGTTTGACTGCACACATGAGAAGAGCTTACCTACATCTGTAACAGGTCTGAAGAGAGCTATATGGAGACGCTACCAAATCCTACACAGAAAGAGTTGTAGGGGAGAGCGGGGCATTTTGGTTTTTGCAAAATAATTTAAAAAATATTTAAGTTGGAATAATCATGTTTTCATACAAGCAACATATACGTCTCTGCTACAAACGAACAAAGACACTTTATTTGTCTTTGTTTACTAAAGTTGAATTAGTTGTAATGCCATGTTACAACCAGCCCCTGCAGTACGGAGGCAGTACTTAAGCACTTGTTGTGAGCTTGTCACATGCTTTAAATTGGTGCTACGTTGTCAGTGCCAAGACGGTGATTAAAGTAATATAAGATTGGATTTTGTGATTTATGCAAACAACAAGCACCTCGTTTGTCAGTCAGCGCTGGGAGCTGAGAGTGTGGACATGAGTCCAGGCTTGAGGACTGAGAGAGCAGGATGTAGTTAGGCTAGAGTGAACTGTTAGCGAGGAAAGTTAGGCTTATGTACGGCATAGCTGTGGCCAACTACACCTGTAGATAAAGCACTTGCGCAAAAGCTAAGTTCCTTCTTTAATAGCAGTAAATGCTACAGTATGTTATTGATGCCAAGCAACTAAGTAGTCAGACTGCTGAACAAGGACATCATTGTATATCCTCCTCAGAACCAAGGAAAAAAGGTGTCTTGCAATTTAGTTTTTTGTGATTTCCTATCTTTTAGGTGTAAATAAAACATATTACCATTTACACTTATGTAATTTATGTTGAACAGTAACAATAAAATAAGGACGTATTTGACTTTCATTCTGTATTCATTTTAGTGGTTTGTTGATTTTAGCTTTTTAACTGAAATTTATTCTCTTATTTATCTTGCATTTCTTGTGATTTATTGACTTTTCCTGTGTTTTTGCCCTCTCAGGTATAGAACAGCTGCACAGTTGACCTAAAATCTATCTAAAACTGCTTTTGAATTCTTTTTGAACATTGTTTTTATTTAATCTACAGAAATGCTGAGCTTCTACTGAAAACTAAAAACTTGTTTGGTCTTTCATTCAGGCATAGGTAGCACAGGCATGAATCCATTATGGTGGAAAAGCACAATAATAATGTAAATAAATATTATTAATATCATTACTATTAATTTAACCTTCAAACACTGACACCTCTGAAATGTAGTTATTTTTATTTACTTTTAAAAACTCCAACCACTCTGATCACAATGAAATGTAGTTAATAGTTATTTTATTTACTGTACTTTCTGTTGCCAAATGCACTTTGTGCTGCTATTATTTATGGTAATTCTAGAACTAAATAAAACATACATGCCAGTACTGGCCCACAGTGGACGACTGCTTTCCTGTTGGTGTCTGGGTTGTCATCTGAAGAGCTACCTGCCTCTTCATCACAACTCTCTGTCTCCTCTTCCACAGGTTTAATCTCATCCTCAGCATTTTCCTCATCTGATAAACCTAAGTTAAAATCTAAGAAGCAAAAGCTTTTCTGCTTCTGTTGTCTCCTGAAATAATGTGTTAGTATATTAGCAACAGTCAAAGACAAGAAGATCTCCTTGGTGTCCACTGTAGTGGATGTTCATAAAATTGTTATCATTCAATCCCAAAAATAATTAAACTGCTCTCGGACCTCACTGAGTAATTCTCAACAACTACAAGAGCATTAAAATGCATGAATTCCATGGTGAAAAAAGCAATATATGAATAATAATTGACTTACCCTTTCTCTTTCTATAAATTGATTTTGTTGAAATAAAGGCCGTTTTGTGGAAACAGGAAGTGGAACTTGTCAGTATCCTACCCTAAAGGATGTGGTATCACTGGAAAGCCAAGGACGTCCTCTTTTACGGTACAGCAGGAATCATTAGGGTAACTCAAACGAGTAAAACAAGAGATGCAAAAACACCAATAAGGAATAGGGAGGTCTCTGCAGTCAATTCATGAACATTTGTCAAGTAATAATGAAAACGTCATAAATATGGCATGGTTTAATGCAGAACCTTCACTGTAGAAGCAGCTTTTTGTTGAATTACCATCACAACAATAATGATAAATGCTCCACAATAAAAAAGCAAGCTAATTTAATAAAATTTGGTTTTAGGTTTATTTACTGAAGGATTTACTGTGAGGCTGCAGCATACAAAGAAACCTAAATGTCTTATAAGCTTATAAGCTGTTTGTATTTAAGCAATTGCTGCCTTAAGCTTGGCGCTAACCTGACATGGCAGAAAATTTCATTATTGTAACAGTGGTTTATCAGATAATCAAAGGCATCTTACAGATGGGAGGGAAGCTGCTCAAGCTAAAGTACGCTAGGAGATATGATTACATAGAGAACAGGTTTAAGGTTAACTTGAAAGCATCTAGTTGGTCAGATATGATTTAAGACTTGTGATCTTGGTGGCAGCTGGACTATCTACAGTCGTTAGATGCCTATGCAACACCTGCCATAGTTGCTTTAGATTTTTTTGTAAGTGTAACTATATCTCTCTTCCTACATTTGTAATATTTTGATATCATCCCATGCCCATCCCATTCCTCTAGGAATGAGCTTTTAAATGTGAATATGCTCTCAGTGTTCAGTTAATGCTAGCAGAAACAGCTCTTTTTCCTCTTTTATTAAACAGAATGGTTGAGAAGAAAGCTAACTCAGCAATAACTTCTAGACTATATTGTTTTTTGAAGATTTGTATAACAGTTTGTTGTGGTTTTGACACCGCCCCCCTCCTGTAGTTGGTAACAGGGGTGTAGGGTGTTCTCAGTGTGTGCTGATAGGCTACCAGGTCTATTTTGAAAGTAAGGGCAGCATCTTTTTTTTTCACAAAAAGTCCTGAAGGAGGAAACTCTGCAGTACCTTTTTAAGAAAATTTTTGCCCAAGTATTTTTTAAAAATGCATTTTCAGGTTGCTTCTTCAACTTGTTGTACATTGCTTCTTCTGTTTCATTTTAATGTTAACTGAATATTCTCAAATGAGTGCTTACTTACCTACTTTCTGTTTAACTTCACACTCTTAAAAAGATGGTTCTTCAAAGTTTCTTTACATACTTAAAAATGATGGTTCTTTGAGGGTTCTTTAGTAAATAAAATGGTTCTATATAGAACAATGAACACGTTAAAGGGTTCTTTACATCATGAAAGACTCTTCAGATTGATGGAGATTGGGCTGTAGATGGTTCCATGTAGAACCTTTTTGAAAATGCTTCTATAAAGCATCAAAAAGGGTTCTTCTGTTGTTACAAGCTTGACATCATAACAATAGAAGAACTCTTTATGGTGCTATATAGAACCATTTCACCATGCAAAGAACCATTTAAGCATGAAATGGTTCTGTTTAGAACTCATTGTTCTAAGTAGAACCATTCCTTTTGAGAACACTTGAACAACTCTTTTTAAAGAGTGTAATGTTGCTTAATGCCACGCACGAACCTCCCACTTCTGGTACAAAACAGAAGCCTGGAAAGCATCTATGGCAAACTTCTTTTAGAGTAAACACTAGTTCAGGCAGGCCAAACTGGGGACCTTTGGGGCCAAAGTGCTGCAGTGATTACTGTTTACCCTCACCTAATGCTCTGAATTCACTTGAGGGCCTAATTAGCTGATGGAATGAATCAGGTAGTTTTTAATGAGGCACTGTGTCCTACTCAGCTACAACTTCCTCTTACTTAACACCTCTGGTTTAGCTGACTCATTTTACACCTCTGGTTTAGCTGACTCATTTTACACCTCTGGTTTAGCTGACTTATTTTACACCTCTGGTTTAGCTCACTTATTTTACACCTCTGGTTTAGCTGACTTATTTTACACCTCTGGTTTAGCTGGCTTATTTTATACCTCTGGTTTAGCTGACTTATTTTACACCTCTGGTTTAGCTGACTTATTTTATACCTCTGGTTTCGCTGACTTATTTTACACCTCTGGTTTAGCTGACTTATTTTACACCTCTGGTTTAGCTCACTTATTTTATACCTCTGGTTTAGCTCACTTATTTTACACCTCTGGTTTAGCTGACTTATTTTACACCTCTGGTTTAGCTGACTTATTTTACACCTCTGGTTTAGCTCACTTATTTTATACCTCTGGTTTAGCTCACTTATTTTACACCTCTGGTTTAGCTGACTTATTTTACACCTCGCACTGTGTATGCTCTCTGTAACCACCTATGTATAAAAAGGCCCTTCTGACTAACAATAAACTGAGTGTGTCTCTGAACATTGGTGCCTCTGTGTCGTTGTTCCGATACACTCCCCGAAGCTTTGAGGAAGAACAAGCAGGTTCATTGAGGTGACAGAGGGACAAACGGAGCAGTAGAGCCAAAATTCCTAACACTAACACTTTTTTTTTACTTAAGCAGTGAGTAACTTTGGTCATAGTTTTTATTATTTGAACTACTCTTTTTATCCTTGAATCCTGAAAACAGATAAAAAGAGACAGGTTTGAGTAAACCATTGAAAGAAATCTGAGCCCAACTAATTTATGGTGCTAAGATAGGCTTTGTGAACAAGATAGACAGACTGACAGACATTATTAGTAAAGAACGGATGTGGCTGTGTGGTTGAAGGATATGATCAGTGTGAGGCAGCATACCGCTCTCTATTAGTCACCATTTTCTGTTTACAGAGGAAGCTATGCACAAGTGATACACTGGGTGATTTACAGAATGCTGACACCAAATATCTTTGATCTTGAGTGAATTAAATACTGTTGTTTACTTTTAACTGAGAGGCTGTTGATGTCTACCAAGGATTCCAAAAAACACTTACACTGCATACTGAAATCTGAATTGTTTTTCTTGAAGTGTAAAGAGGAAACACTTCCAACCAGACCTTTCAATGTTAGACAATTTAGTTTAAGCTAATTAGATACATACATTTACAGAAAATGATTATATGCTGATAAAACAAAAATAACTCATGACATAAAGAAGAAACATCTTAACATTATTGCTGTTGCTATTTTTTTTAAACATAAACTGTTATCAGCTCTATACGCACAATATCCACTCTTATAAAAATCAAACAGTATAACATATGAAAAAAAAATCGTTAATCCAAATCAGAAAGAAAATGCAGTAAATGTAACGGAAAGCTGATTTTATTTCAAGTAATTTTGTAACATTTCTGTTGGTTCTTTCATGACTTTTTCACACAACGTAAAGGACAGTAAAGGAATTTTTTGTCTTGGACAGCGACGATATGTTCATTTGGCAATCTTGACTAACTTAAAACTAATCTGACGATGCCCAAGCAACTATAAAACATTAGCATAACAAATACAATGATCAAAGTACAACAATAAAGTATAGTAATGTATGTGTAGCTTAAAAGCAAACAAAATGATAGAAAAAAGTTGTCTTAACATTTTGACAAAGTTATAAAAAACAGTTGTCTTAACAAATGTTGACTTTGGACTTCACAGCAGTGCAGCTGCTGTGTCAATATATTTACTGTGGTATGCAAAAGTTTGAAGAAAATGACGTTTTGTTGACTTTCGAGGTGAAAATCAGTGAACGCATCCTCTACAGGAAACTCAAATGTGGCATTTTTTGGCAAATTTTAGTGCACAATTTGTATTTGCTGCCTTAAACATATTGAAAAAAAAAATGAATCTAAATCTAAAATGCGCCATAACTTTTGCACACTCTGCATTTCATGTTTTTTTTTTTTCCGCCAATTGCATTGAGCAGATAAATAGTAACTCTGTATTAAAATATATCTTCCCTGTAGACGATGTCCACTTATTTTCACTTAGAAAATCAGCGAAACATAATTTGTCCAGGGGTGCCCAAACTTTCTCACACGACTGTATATCTTCCAGTGTGGACTTAACTGCTTTTAGTTGTTTGTCCTTGTGAAGGTGAGTACAACAGAGGCTGCAGTTTACTCGCTATAAGCACTTGATGCTTTTATGAAAATGACAGTGGATCACATGGTGAAGCCAGTAGGAACGGGACGACAGTTGTAGTTCATGTCTCTGATGGGTCCTGCCTGCGGGTGCACTTTACGCATATCCATGTATTCTGCGTTCTTGTCTGCATCGTAGCGTTTCACTTTCTTCTGAAACAGGTTAGTAGGTTAAGGGTAAGCCACAATATTTGAGCTCAAGTTAATGGAAAACCCCTACAGTTAGAAAGTCTAAGATGGAATGATATGATGACATGTTATTACACTGGCACATTCACAGTCCTCATGCACTTTTCCTTGGCATCTTTGTTCTAACCATGGTGCAACAGACATTGAGCAGGAAAGGCACTGCCAGAGAACTATATGATCTCTTAAGAAGCTCCTGCTTAAGTAGCTCTGATTATATTTAGGAGCATGTCTAGGCACTCCAGGAATAAGTTTGCCTCTAACATATTCAAAAAGGTGTGAATGCATTAATGTTTGTCTCTTACCTTGGGTTTGACCTGGTTTGCCACAAACAGAAGTACAGAAGTAAAAGAAAGAGAATGTAAACAGTTATTTACAAAAACTAATAATTTTATCTTAATCATTCTTAGATTTGCAAGACAATATTTCAGCACAATCAACAGGACCATGTAATTGACTGTTGTCTTCAGCTATGTTGTATGAACAAGTTTCTCACCTGCATTGGAACATAAGTCAGCGTGTCATATATCTCTTCAGACCTTTTGACCTTAAAGAGACAAAACATACACAATACTTTAATACTGTAGTGGACCAGCTTTTTAAATGACATAATTGGTATTACACTTTTAATATTTAGTATTTTAGTTTAGTATTGATCATCTATTAAGTTAAGCACACAAGAAGAGAGAAGGAACTATACAATCAATAGAAATGACTAGATTATTGAGTTACCTTCAGCTTGATGTAGACAGCAGTAACACACAGGCTATAGAGGCACAGCACAAACACCAGACCAATCAGAGCCCAGGTGAGAGGGCGAGAGAGGCCGAGAATCTCAGGACAGGGGCGAGCAGGGCCAGATGTTGTCATGTTGTCATGTGGGACATTTGGACAACTGCACTCTTTAAAACCTGATGCAAAGACAATTTCTTAACTCTGTGATTCTGTGCATTTACATGAGTACATTTATTTAACATTCTCATTTCATTGTTTTATTCATTTTCACAAGTGAAAAGCTATACAAGGCTGTACAACAATGCGATAAAGTGCACTGTTTTAATTCTGGTATCACTCTGGTAAGACCTTACTCACCTGGAAACAGCTTAATTTTCTCCCCAACTGCAGTAGTGACCGGAATTGGGCTGCGTCGGTAAACCTGGCATTGATAGTAAAGGTTTTTTTCTTCAGAATTTAGATTCTTCAAGGTGAACTTGATCTGGTTGCCCATTTTAGACAATACACATTTGTCTTTTTTCACCTCGCAAACTCTATTCTCCCCCTCCAGCAGCCTTGCACCGACAATCCAGTTTTCCCATCCATCATGCTGACATGTGACACTAACTGAGTCAGTATCATCCAAATGGTACTGCAGAAGAGTGGTCACATTTAATTTAGGATCTGTCCGTAGGGATAAAACAAACCACAAATTATTTAGAAAAATGCCCCAATAAAGTGCAATTATATAATAATAATAAAAATAAATAAATAAATAAATAAATAATAATAATAATAATAATAATAATAATAATAATAATAATATCTTTATTTATAGAGCACTTTTCATACCAGTGGCAGCTCAAAGTGCTTTACGGTTAGGTGATAAACGTTTAACAGTAATAGAAGAAACTATGAATATTAATTTCAAATCATATAAGACAATGACACAGATCACATTAATTATGTAGAATTCTAACTAAATGGTAAGTTAAAGACAAAGTTAAAGTACATTTTTGTTGTGATTATTAAAAGTGTACACTGAGCTGGACTGTCTAATAAAATGTGGAACCGAAATCCACAGTTTAGAAGCATAATAACCGAAAGAGTCTCTCTGTTTTCTGTATTTTACGGAAGATATTTGCAGAAGGTCAGTACCTGCAGATTTAAAATCATGTTGGAACATAAACAGACAGGCATTCTGTGGTTGCTGGGTCATTTAGAGCTTTATGTGGTGTTATAGTTATATGTAGAGTGTAGTCGTAAGAGGTGGAGTCAGTGAGTCAGTAGGTTATTGCCGTGTGTGGTGTTATAGTTATCTGTAGAGTGTAGTCGTAAGAGGTGGAGTCAGTGAGTCAGTAGGTTATTGCCGTGTGTTGTGTTATAGTTATCTGTAGAGTGTAGTCGTAAGAGGTGGAGTCAGTGAGTCAGTAGGTTATTGCCGTGTGTGGTGTTATAGTTATCTGTAGAGTGTAGTCGTAAGAGGTGGAGTCAGTGAGTCAGTAGGTTATTGCCGTGTGTTGTGTTATATTTATCTTTACGGTGTAGTCGTAAGAGGTGGAGTCAGTGAGTCAGTAGGTTATTGCCGTGTGTTGTGTTATAGTTATCTATACAGTGTAGTCGTAAGAGGTGGAGTCAGTGAGTCAGTAGGTTATTGCCGTGTGTTGTGTTATAGTTACCTGTACAGTGTAGTCGTAAGAGGTGGAGTCAGTGAGTCAGTAGGTTATTGCCGTGTGTTGTGTTATAGTTATCTGTAGAGTGTAGTCGTAAGAGGTGGAGTCAGTGAGTCAGTAGGTTATTGCCGTGTGTTGTGTTATAGTTATCTGTAGAGTGTAGTCGTAAGAGGTGGAGTCAGTGAGTCAGTAGGTTATTGCCGTGTGTTGTGTTATAGTTATCTGTAGAGTGTAGTCGTAAGAGGTGGAGTCAGTGAGTCAGTAGGTTATTGCCGTGTGTTGTGTTATAGTTATCTGTAGAGTGTAGTCGTAAGAGGTGGAGTCAGTGAGTCAGTAGGTTATTGCCGTGTGTTGTGTTATAGTTATCTGTACAGTGTAGTCGTAAGAGGTGGAGTCAGTGAGTCAGTAGGTTATTGCCGTGTGTTGTGTTATAGTTATCTGTACAGTGTAGTCGTAAGAGGTGGAGTCAGTGAGTCAGTAGGTTATTGCCGTGTGTTGTGTTATAGTTATCTATACAGTGTAGTTACATGACAAGCCCATCATCTCTTTCAGCCTTTCAGGAGTTCTTCATTCGATGTCACCTGAGTTCTAATGTACACACCTGATTTCACTTTACTCCTTTAGTCTGGCATTTAAGCCCAGGCTTTAGCCCAGGTTATTTGCGAAGTATTGTTTCACTGTGCTTACTGAGTGATTTTCAATTCCCTTTTGCTTAGTTGCTTGTGATCTCTTTTGCTATTTTTTTTTACTTTGGGCTTGTCTCTCTACCTCTCTTTTGAGCCCTCTTGCATTGTCAGCTGTTTCTCACCTTGGTCTGTTTCTGTTCTTTGTTTTTGGATTGCTCTTCAACTGCAAATAAATTGTTAAGATTGATTTTAATCCCAGAGCATCTGATTTGGTCTCATAGCCTGACAGTGTGGGGTTATAGTTATCTGTACAGTGTAGTTATAAGTCAGTAAATCAATAGGTCATTGCTGTGTGTTGTGTTATAGTTATCTGTAGAGTGTAGTCGTAAGAGGTGGAGTCAGTGAGTCAGTAAGTTATTGTAGTGTATAGAGTTATAGTTATCTGTAGAGTGTAGTCATAAGAGGTGGAGTCAGTGAGTCAGTAAGTTATTGTAGTGTATAGAGTTATAGTTATCTGTAGAGTGTAGTCGTAAGAGGTGGAGTCAGTGAGTCAGTAAGTTATTGTAGTGTATAGAGTTATAGTTATCTGTACAGTGTAGTCGTAAGAGGTGGAGTCAGTAAATCAGTAAGTTATTGTAGTGTATAGAGTTATAGTTATCTGTAGAGTGTAGTCGTAAGAGGTGGAGTCAGTGAGTCAGTAAGTTATTGTAGTGTATAGAGTTATAGTTATCTGTAGAGTGTAGTCGTAAGAGGTGGAGTCGGTGAGTCAGTAAGTTATTGTAGTGTATAGAGTTATAGTTATCTGTAGAGTGTAGTCGTAAGAGGTGGAGTCGGTGAGTCAGTAAGTTATTGTAGTGTATAGAGTTATAGTTATCTGTAGAGTGTAGTCGTAAGAGGTGGAGTCAGTGAGTCAGTAAGTTATTGTAGTGTATAGAGTTATAGTTATCTGTAGAGTGTAGTCGTAAGAGGTGGAGTCAGTGAGTCAGTAAGTTATTGTAGTGTATAGAGTTATAGTTATCTGTAGAGTGTAGTCGTAAGAGGTGGAGTCGGTGAATCAGTAGGTTACAGTTGTTTGTAGTGTTATTTTTTTCTGTAGTGTTATGAGAAATGGATTCAGTGAACCAGTAGGTTACTGTTATGTGTAATGTTATAGATATCTATACAGTGTAGTTTTCTGTGGCATCACAAGAATTGCCCAGGCTTACTGGGTACAGGTTGTACCATGGTATATCATGCCATTGTAAACATCACCTTTAGTTGTGTATAACACAGTACTGGCAACTGAACATTCGCAGCTATCACTGTAAAATATAACTTCGCTTATTAATTTATGACAGTTTTATGATAGTTACTACCTTTTAACTGTAAAACCTTTGTTTACAAGGAAAACATTTTTCAGATTTGTTTAATGGTGTGAAGAAACGTAAGTGTGCTACATTAATTGCTGGTCCAAATCAATCACTACGCCTCTCACAAGCATGGGTCATGAGAGAGTCAGTTGTACAAGAAGAATTGAAGTCAAGATTTCATTCACGTTTGCCCATAAAATGAAATGAGAAACAACTGGGAAGTAGTTAGGGAGCATAATCCACTTTCATCTTACGAATGAATGAAGGTCTCTAGGAAGAGATAACATTGGCCTTAAAGACATTAAAACATCAATCAGTATGTCACTTTAAATGTGTGAATATAAACTAAGCCAGTTTATTAAAGATAGTCATACATCAAAAAAACTGAAATATTACTATTTTACTACTTTCTACTGTAGGTATAAGGTAGTATTTCTTATACTTAGATGTTCATTAATATTATAGATTTCTAACTTGAGCAGAAGCTGACCACAATGAATTACTTACTTAGCAAGCTTTGCTGTTTAGGTTTTTTTTTTTTTATAAATTGAACATAAAAAGCACTGAAGGTTAAGCAAGAAAGAAGTTTACCCTTTGCTATTTTGCCACTTACCTTGTTGAAGTGTCATAGAAAGGCACTGTAGGAGGATGAAGAACCTGAACGACATGTCAGCTTTTCAGCAGTGTGTGTGTGTATGTGTGTGTGTATGCAGAGCTCCTCGGTATATTTTGACTCAAGTGAAAAAAAAAACAGGAAATGGCAGGAAATGTTTGACTGATCTCTGAGCAGATTTAGTGATTTAGTGACCCATTTTGGTAATTGTACAGGACAAAAAAAGAAAGCCAACAAAGACAAAGGTATGTAGCTGGCAGTGATAATTTTTGCTAATGAATTTTTAATGTTGTTTTTTTATTTATATTACTTCCTTTTTTCTGACTGGAAGTTGGTAACAAGTTGTGTGGGTGGCTTTTTTGAAATAGCTACTGGGTTGGTAGGAAAATACCTTACAAAACTGTCATTTCAAACACCTACGCTTTCCATATCCAACCAGGCAATAAACTGGTGCAAAGTCATACCATTTATAATAGTCTGTAAAAGCACTGAGCCATGTTATTTTTCCAAACATAAACTATGTTTTGCAAACATAAATATGTTTCTAAAGTAACAAATGCCAATCACCTTTTATTTTTGTGTAGATGTGAGTGTATGTCTCATAATCCATGTGGGATCATATGTCACATAATCTGTGTTGGATCAACACCAGGCTATAGACTAATATTGACAGCAGTACAGTCATATTCCTACCCTTCTGCCCTGTGGTAAACATAAACCCAACCAACTATTTGGGTTAATGTAAGCATTACATTACATTACATTAATGGCATTTGGCAAATGCTCTTAACCAGAGAGACTTTATCATGTTACAGAGATGACTGAAGATTCTTGCCCAAGGACTCTTGGTGTATAGTATGGTCTGCTCGCCCACTCGGTGAGACAATCTGCTGTGGGGAGAGTGGCAATGTTATCTAGCACAGTGCTTATCAAAATTTAAACATTTTACTTGAAAATGGATAGTTTGTGGTCCCAGTGGGTGATTTCAATATGAAGTCCAAGTCAGTTAGAGATGTGAAATGTGAAAAGTGTCTGTTAGATCTTTCTCTTTGAAACACCTTCAGTCTCACAAATACTGACATCCTTGCATTTAGTACTTTGTGCTCCCTTTGTCAAGATAGTGAGTATTTGTTTGAGTGCACCTAAAAACATCTGCAGTCAGTCTTCCATACAAAATCTATCCAGATCCTTCATAGTCTTGGGTTCCACTTCATCCCATTCCACAGGTTTTCAATGGCATTTAGATCAGGGGACTGGCCTGGGGTCATCAAGTCTCCAAAAGCACGATTAACTATCACCTTCGTGCCAACAAGCTATTTGGAAGGCTTGTCAGAAGAAAGTTTTTGCTGTCATCAGACCACAAACTTACGCAATTGGGGTTTGCAAAATATCACTGGGATGACTGGAACCAAGTTCAAAGAATCAAAAATAACAGCAAATATAGAGCTTTCTGGCAACTAGCAGACGACATGGCTTTCCAGACAAGAATACAAGCCTTATTGTAAAGTGTAGCAGGTGGATCTGCAATGTGGAGATGTTTTAAGTACATTGGCCTTCGGAATAATGTTGAGATAAATGGTATCACGGATTCCAGGAGATTTTAGCATTGAGCTGAAGAAGACAATACACAAGTGATGATCGAGGACTTTGAAAGATCTGGAGAGATTTAGTATAAAGGGAAAGATCTCAGATTCTTTTGTACGTGCTCTCCAACATCATCCAGCATTATAGTAGACTCAGTGCTGTTGTCCTGACAAAGGGAGGGTGCACAAAGTGTTCAACTGAGGGGTCCCAATAATTGTTACATAGAGCAGCATCCAAAAGCCTGAGACCACATTGAAAATCTGGGATTTTTTTTCATTGAAACCTGTAATGAAACAACAAAGTTTTAGAATTTTGAAACATTTAAAACAAAGAAAAACTGTGTGAAGCATGAAGAAATTCTGCCCTTTTTCTAGATCATATTCACTTCAAAACAAATTTGTCACAGCGGTAAAGTTTTGTACAAAAAGTTCAGACTTTTTTCAGTCTCATCTCCCCTTTTGAAGTACGTGTTCAGACGCTACTCAGGTGGATTTGATCTGCTCATCACTTTTGCACAAACTTGTGCAGCTTGAGTGCATGCTGTCATTAATGCAAGAGAAGGACATACCAAATACTAAGACATTCATATTAGAATGTAAAAAAATACTCCCTTTACTTAAGTTATGCTGTAAATACACCGATCAGGCATAACATTATGAAGACCTCCTTGTTTCTACGCTCATTGTCCATTTTATCAGCTCCACTTACTATATAGGTGCACTTTGTAGTTCTACAATTACAGACATACTTTGTTAACCCCCTTTTACCCTGTTCTTCAGTGGTCAGGACCCCCATGGACCCTATATAAGTGCACCTTTATAGTAAGTGGAGCTGATAAAATGGACAATGAGCATAGAAAGAAGGAGGTGGACATAATGTTATGCCTGATCAGTGTATAATTTGTAAAAAAGACTTATTTTAAATCATAAAGGAAGGCAAGATAGAAGAGATTTTCATTAGTGGTCTTTCACTAGTGGACTTTTGGACTCCACTGTATGTACTCTTATGAATAAAAATAAAAAGTTTATTTTCGTGATTTTTATGTGCTACGCTTCTATTATCTGTTGCATCAAAACTCGGCTTTTACAGACAGTTTTCGAGTCTTGATTCTTTGCGTGCTGACTCCAGAGATAAAGCGATGGGGGAAATTTAGAGATGTTAGCTGATTACAGACTTGAATTACATGCAAAAGGTTTATGATAATAGTTATCAGTAATAATGTTCATATCATTTGAACTGACTTTAATTTGTCCTGGTTGTTTTGCTCTTCTGAAAGCACTGAACAAGTGCTGTTATGTCTTTCATTCATTGTCATTCACTTTTTTTCTTCATATAGTTTGTTCGTCTTCTTCTTCTTTTTGCTATTATTATCAGTAGAAGTAGTAGTAGTTATAGTTGTAGTAATAGTTTTCAAAGTTTTCTTTTTTTCCTCTTGAATTGAAACCTCAGTAAAAATAGCAAACTGCACTCTGAGTACTTAAGAAGAATTCTGGACACAATGTTTAAAACTAGAATTGTGGCCCATCTGTTCCTAATAGGCACCGTTACACAATGTGTACTGTGTGCAGGGCGTTTCTTGGCGGTTCAGTTCGGTGCACATGTTTAATCAGCTTGTTGACTATGTAAAAGTTTGAATTCATTTGGTTTTTTTTTATCAAATTTTGTTTTCAAGTGAGTACCTAAAATGTTAAGGTAAGCTACTTGCACGTTTCTTCTGTACTGTCCCAATTGTGGTCAGGATGTTTGTGGTTCAGTTCAGATGAGATAAAATTTGTGTAAAATGTCCACCTCACATCCTGTCGAAAGTGTCAGGCTTGCGATTATCTGAGGCCTTGTTTAACACACACTGTTTTTCAGATTAGGTGTGCAAAACAGATGAGACACACAAAAAAACTCAAAATTCTCATGTTTTTGTCTAGATAATATCTGCTAGATACTGTTTCATGCTAGCAAGCTAAGAAGTTGCTTTGCGTGTAAATGTATTCTGTCTATTTAGTGTCTGACAGATTGACAGGAGAGTAGTAAAGTGTATAATTCATGTTGTAAAGCGTGTAATAATTAATGTTTAATGCTTTGGCAAATATAGCTCTTTTTTTCAACAGCCACTGTCACAGAGCAGCTTTATAGAAATCCTGGCCTTGGGAAAAAAACTCCCTGAGATGATATTTGAGAGGAGGACTCAAAGGGGATCCCATCTGTGCACAGATAGAACAATAGTAACTGTTAAAGTAAATAACTGGATTGCACCACTGAAAGTTAAACTAGTGACCGGTGTTAAAAGTCTGACATGCCTGGCTGGCTATTGATTCTGATGGACGTGTACAAGATGTTAAATATGCTGCATAAAAACAAGACACAACATAAACTTGGACATGAATACTGGGCAAGAAGTGAAGATGAAGAAGCAGGTTAGGTAGGCTTTTTGTTTTTGTACTTCTTGAGGCAGTTGACAGTAATTGAGGCTGATTACAGACCATGAGGATTAGCAATTCATGAGGAACATGAGAGAGACTGTTGATTAAGATGCTCCAGAGAGGTTAGGGAAGGCTGGAATCATCACAGTAGGAAGGTGTGCAGAATATGAAGGAATGAATGTCTATGAAGGGATCGAGCAGGACTGCTCCAGAAAGCTGAAGGAACTACAGCAGGGATGTCATAGCAGGATCGTGCACTGGAGTGTCATATCAGGCAGTAGCAGCCTGAGCTCACATACAGTATGGTAAAAAAAAAAAATTGCTTGTCATACTAATATTTTTTGTTATGTTACATAGAGTAATAACTTATAAAATGTGGATTTCAACTGTATAAACTAGACATGAAAATGTAATTATAGATGCTTTGTTTAATACTTTATAGTTAATAGTATTTTTTCGTTATTAAATGAAAAATAATCTTAATTCTCTTTTTTTGTCAGGTTTTCTGTGTTCAGATTTGATCATCACGTTTGAAAAACAGTACATTCTGAATATTAATTTATTCTTCGTTCTTTATATTATACATCTTTCTGAGTAATTTTAGAATCAGGTAAGACTACAAATATATGTTTATTGTTATAAAATGAACATCTAAACATCTTTTTTAAACATTTAAATCCTTTTTAAACATTTCAAACTTTTTTTTATTTATCATTATATTATATTTTTACAGTTTTGTAGCTTCCTACTAATTATTTGAAAGCTGTGAAGCTGCTCAGGATTAACACATTAGAATCATCTCATACATTTATCCACACAGAAACTGGATTATTGTATTGAAATAATTGATTCCAAACTTTTGGTCACATTTTCTAATAAGAACTCCTTTAGCTGGATTCACAGACCCAGATTATGACTAATCTTAGACTAAAATGAATTTCTGATGGTGATTCAACATTGGCACTGCAGTTTAGTCCAAGACTAGGCTTAATCCATGTCTGGCCCTAGTTGTTACATTCTGGATTAAGTGGAGCTTGTTTAGGCACACACTGGAACGCCCAGCTTTCTTTCTTGAGAGAGAGAGAGAGAGAGAGACCAAATTTTCTCTGATTCGACAAAGGCAGTGTTGTG